GGAATGTTCAAGTATTTTAGCTTACTTTACAGAACAATAAATTATTAAGTAACTATATGCTGCAAAGTGCCCTCATCAAGAGTCTTCCAAAGAAATATGTGCCATAAATAACAGTGCTACTTTATTGGTAACTCTCATTTATCAGTAGGAACATTTTTAACTGAGCTGGGGATAAAAATACATCCTATCTTTGGACTTGACATGGATAATCAGCCAGCGGTAGAAAGAAGATCCTGCATAATCAGGTTTAACTTCCTGTTCCTACCTCAGTCAGTGGGGATGCTCAACCATTCCCCTTCCACCTGCACTTCTGCCTCGCTTCTACATATCTGGCCACAGTTCACGGAAACATGAAGTACAAGAACCAAGAAGATCATAACGGACACTCTAGCCTTAGCGCTTCCCACAGAAGATTATTTCAGGTGGCACCCTCAGTAGTGCACATTTTAATGATTGTACAGTTTAATATATATATTTTAAAACTAAAGCTAGCACATCAAACTCATAAATTCACTTAGAATGCAGCTAAAATAGCCCCTACTCAGGAAAAAAAAAAAACGATTTTTAAACTAAGCAGCAAACCGCGTTCCACCCGCATACAAATCCTAATTTTGTGCTCATTCCACTGCCCTGAAGAATACACTGCCTGCATGGCATCAAGTGATTAAACTTCTCCTACATAACCGCTTCTTGGTCACAATCTCATTTATCAAACCAACAGTAAGTAATGGTGGTGCCTGAAATTAAAAGCACTGGCTGTCCCTCCACAGTGACAGGTGCATAACGGAGATCAATAAGGACTCGAGTATGCAGCTAGATTGCTTGAAACCACTGAGGGCACTGACAAAAACTCAAACAAAGCAATCAGAGTAGAACCTAAAGCCACATAATGTTTGAATTAACTGTTATGGGGACTTTTCACATCACTGCTTTCCTTCATGGATGCAAATGCAATCAGGACAGTACACATACAAACACCCTGGAAATGATACAACATACATATAAAGAACATACAGAGGCAACAATTCAGCAATTTAAAGATCTCAAAGGAGCTGCCTGTCAATATGGTGGGTTAAAGCACAGCCTGTGACGCTGGCATCTCGGAGTGGAGTGTCAGTGTGAGTCTAAGCCGCTCCACTTATGATCCAGCTCCCTGCTGACGTGCCTGAGAAAGGCAGCAGAAGATGCACGAAGTCCTCCAGCTGGAAACACACCTGGCTCCAGGCTGGTCTGGTGCACACCTGGCTGTCGGAACCATGTGGAGAGTGAACTACTAGACCAAATCAATGCACACACACATTTCTGCCTTTCAAACTAATGTATCTCCTTTAAAGAAAAATCTAAAAAGGTCTTTTTTAAGAAAGAGTTATTGGGCCTGGCACGACAGTGTAGCAACTAAAGTCCTTGCCTTGAATGCACTAGAATCCCACATGGGCACCAGTTCTAATCCCAGCAGCCCTGCTTCTCATCCAGCTCCCTGCTTGTAGCCTGGGAATGTAGTCAAGGATGACCCAAAGCTTTGGGCCACGTGGGAGACCCGGGAAAAGCTCCTGGCTCCTGGCTTCCGGATTGGTTTAGCTCCAGCCAATGTGGCCACTTGGGGAGTGAATCATCAGATGGAAGATTTTCCTCTCTTTCCTCCTCTCTGAATATCTGCCTTTCCAATAAAAATAAATAAATCTTTAAAAAAAAAAAAAGAGTTACAGAGAAACAGACAGACAGATCTTACCTTAAGAACAATGCCACCACTCCTGCAACTCATTTTTTTTTGGCAACTCAATCTTGATAGTGAGGAAAGGGTGAATATGGTTGTAGATGACACATCCCACTTTGTGTCCATTTATAAATTTGTGGCGTTCTCAACAATCACACAGTAGTTACAACCACTTCTGACAGACTGAAAAGAGTATGTTCTTTTAACTCAAAAGCTTTTGTGCACCTCAGCTCAACCACTTAGGATACAACATAGGACATATTATGTTCCTGAACCTATTTCTCAGCTAGGATAATAAAGGAACACCACCATCCAGGACTACTAAGAATATTAAATGAGATGTTAGACAAATAGTGTGGTTAAGATTACAGCAAACAGGGCCCCGGTGCGGTGCCGCAGTGGTTAAGGTCCTTTCCTTGCACGCCCAGGATCCCACATGGGCGCCAGTTCTAATCCCGGCAGCCCCACTTCCCTTCCAGCTCCCTGCCTGTGGCCCGGGAAAGCAGTCAAGGAGGGCCCAAAGCTTTGGGCCCCTGCACCCGTTGCGCTCACTAGGGGAGTGAATCATCAGACGGAAGATCTTCCTCTCTGTATATCCGCCTTTCCAATAAAAAAAAATAATAATAAAAAAAAAATCACAGCAAACAGGGCCCATGTTGTAGTGCAGCAGGCATCCCACGCTAGAGAACTGCTTTAAGTCGTGGCTGCTCCAACTTTCAATCCGGCTCACCAGCAGCAAGCCTGGAAAAGGCTGAAGATGGCCTAAGTCCATGGGACCCTGCCACCAATGCGGAGAACCCTAAGGAGTTCCAGGATCTGGGTTCCTGGCTTCAGCCTGGTCCAGACCTGGTTGGTGTGGCTGTTTGAGGAAGGAATCAAAAAGGCACTGTCAAAAGCAACAGCCTAACCAGCACCATCACAGCACTGGCCCATCCTTTTTCTTCTCTTTTTAATTAATATATTTCTTTGAAAAAGTAATAGAGACGGGAAAATCATCCTTCTATCTGGTACTTTGCTCCCTAAGTAGCGGGCCAAAGCCAGGAGCCAGGATCTTCTGGGTCTCCCGTGCGGGTGATAAGAACTCAGGCACTCAGTCAGGCCAGGGTCTTCACTGTGACACAGCAGGTTAAGCCTGACATGTCAGCATCCCACAAGATCATCAGGATATCAAGTCCCGGCTGCTCCACTTCTCAGCCAGGTCCCTGATAAAGTGTCTGAGAGCAGCAAAAGACGATACCTGCCTGAGACCCTGCTTCATGTGGGAGACTGCATGTGTTTACTCGCTCGCTCGCTCACTCACCTTGTCAAATAGATAAACGTTCCAACAGGCTTATACTTTACCTGTTAGCGCTGACAACCCTCCCACATGGGCACCGGCATGTGCCCCGTCAGTTCCATTTCCAATCCAGCTCCCTGCTTATGGCCTGGGAAAACAGCAGGGGATGGCCCAAGTCCTCCCCAAACACACCCTTCTCTTCAACTTACTTGATACTGTTCTTCACATGTGTAAGCTCTCACTCATCCTCAGTCAGTCTTTCAGAGGTGCCAGCACTGAATTAGATACTACCCTCCGAGTTTAGGTATCAACCCCAGAGAAGAAAAAACGCAGTTGCTGTGGCACTGTCTTTGCTGGGGATCTTACAGTTATTGTTAGAATCAGGAGCAAATTTTCAAGCCAGTATAATTTTTCTGCACAGTAAGAAACATAAGAGCATGCTCAAAATCCAGAAAAATCACCAAATCCAAGTCATTTAAGGAGCACGAATGCTTCTACAAAGTTCTGAGTGCCTAGCCAAGGAAGACTGGTTGATCCTGCAAGGGAACACTTCCCAAGGTCCCTAATGCAGGTAAGGAAGGGACTCCTGGAATGGGACATTTATCCTTCCCAGATAAGGTTCTGTTTCTGCTAAAAACCACCTACAACAGGTCTGGTCATCAATATGAAGATCCTTGTATCCTCAGGGATCAAACAGAAAACTCCAAAATATTGGACCTGGTGAGCAACCTCAGCTGTACATCCTAGAGGAACGGCTTCAGAACGAACAGGTGCATGGGAGAATCTTTGTGTCAAGAACCCTGTCCACCCACCCACCCCCACCCCCACCAAGCCTATCGGCTCTGGAAACATCGTTCCCATCTCCTGATGATGGACTTCTGGATTACTGTATGGAGAAGACCAGAGTAAGCCTGGCAACGGGCTGAAGGGAGATTACCCAGAGTACCCCAATTCTCCAAATCAGGGGACTTCCTACAGCATCTAGTGCCTCAGACAAAGCTTATTGATATCTTATCCCAATCCAAGGGGGATCAAACAGCCTCATTCTGCTTGTCAAACTTTGGAGCTAATTCTGTAAACCTACACCTTAAAAACAAACTATTCCCATCAGATTCGCTTCCAAACTTGGATGTGAGACTCACCAAAAGGGCACTTGAGCCCGCAGCATTAAATCTAGAAAAGGAATGATCAATGTCACCAAGAGGTCCTGGTAAAAATCCTACTCACACCTCAGAAAGGGAAGACCCCACCACCCCACTCCCATCGTAACACTATTTTCAGTGTTACAGCTTCAAATGCTGTCCTAAGTTTGCAGGGTTGGGACTCCCAGTCACCAGGTGCAAACAGTTTAAAAACGAGGTTCACTACCCACCTACCAAAGAGAATGCATGGGAGCGAAAGCACACTATCCAAGCCGGGAAAGTAGAAGAAAAAGTAAGAATCCGCAAACTACAAACGAATGAGGGTGAAGACAATAAATGCTTCTGCGCGCTAAGGCACACACATCAGAACCGCCCCCCCACCCCAGCTGCCTGACCAAACATCAGCGACAGCTAAGAAACCTCCGCCGACCCTAACAGTCCAAGTACGTCAAACATTGTTTTCGGGTTTCAAAGGATTGCTCCTCACTTGTCCAATGCGCAACGGATGGGGAAAACAGAAAAAAATCCAAAAGTGTCTCTCAGGCGAAGGAGCCGCTCTGTATGAAAAAGCATCACACAAAAGACAGGAGCGAACAAGAAACACGCTCGGGGCCTGGCCCCACTGCGGCCGGCAATCCGAGGTCCCGGTGCCCAGGCAGACCCCCGCAGCCGGGAGCGAGGGGAGGAAGGAAGGGGTGGGGTGGGGTCCTCTTCCCCAGCCCCCCACCGGCCCCCAAGGCTCCGGGGAGCGCGAGGCACCGCGAGGGAAGGCGGCGAGCGCCCTGCAGGCGATCCGCAGCGTCCAAGGCCGGCGACAGCCTCGGGCCCGCACCAGGCCTGGCCCTCCCGGCCCGGCCCGCCGCCTCACCTCTCTCACGTCCTGCAGGCACTCGAGAACCGCCAGGTTGTTGTTCCAGGTATGCTTGGGGCACACGCGGGTCACGTCCTCCCGGCAAGACTCTTCCTCCACCAGTTTCCAGCCGCCGCCGGCCCCGCCGGGCCCCGCTCCTCCCCGCCGAGCCGGAGGCCCACCCGCCGCGAAGGGCGGCTGTGGCTGCCGAGGTAGCTGCTGCTGCTGTTGCTGCTGCGCCTGTGCTTGCTGCTGCTGTGCCTGTGCTTGCTGCTGCTGGAGCTGCGGTGCCAGAGGCAGCTGCTGACCCACTGGGCCGCCGCCTCCAGCCTGCGCTCCAAAGCCCATAATGTTGCCCCCAGGGCCCTGGCCCTGACTGTGGCCGACTGGAAAGCGGAGCTCATCGGCCCCGACCGCGGCCAGCAGCAGCAGCGGCAGCGCCGCCGACAAGCGGAACATCCTCCGTACACGTCCACACGCCGCCATCTTGGGTCCGCGGCGAGCTCGACGCACCCGCCGGCGCCACGTATTTAAATGAGGGGGCGGGGCCTCGGGCGTGGGTCGGCGTGGCCTGCCCTGCCGAGCCCCGCCCCCCGGGCGGTGAGGACCGGCGCGAGCCAGCCGGGGGCGGGGCCACGAGCACGCCGCGCGCACCGTGGTCCACGCCTCCGTCCTCGCGGGCGGGAAAGCTGAGGGAGACACCCGGGCAGGGCGAGTCCATTTAAGTTCATAAACAACAAAAAAGACAACTGGAGTTGCCACAAGCAAGATGGTCGGTAGCTAGTGCCGCCACTTCAGTGACTTGGGAAAAAAAAAAATAACCAAAATTGTTCGGTGTAGAGGTGAATCTTTTTCCCTAGTCAGAAAAAAGTTACAGCCCTACTCTTAACGAACTGTGAGGCTCCTGAGTCCTGATTCCAGACCAGCAAACTAGGGTTAAAAGCTGAAAATAAAATACGGCCTTATGGGGTGGAGGGGAGCTTGTTAAATGAGCTGCCCAGCAGGTGAACTGGGCCATCTTGTAGACAGTCACCAAATCTAATCCCTCCCATCCAACCACCTTGGTGCACCTTTACCCCATTTGGCCCTTGCAGAGTGATAAGGAGTGAGGGCACCCTGGGGAACACAATCCCCCACTAACTACAAGTTATCAAGTAAAAAACAAAAAATTGTGCTGTGTCCTGACTCCCCAGAACAGTAAGGACTGGGTCAGCCAGAACCAGAATCTCATTAGTTGGCTGAGGACTCAGAATCCCAAAAGGAAACTCCAAGGCTGACAACCAGTGGGTACAAACTACTCAGCTGAATCCTGGGAGTGAGAACAGGTTGGTATTAGGTTGGTATTTCCCCCCAGGCTCTTGCTTGTTCACTGCCCTAAAATGATCCTGAGGCCCTTCCCCTACCTTGAACATCCACAACAGGCAGGCGGACCACATGAATGAATACACGTGTTCATCAGTAGATGGGGCTGGTCAGGGATGTCTGTGTCCCCAGTGGCCATTCATTTTGAATACTGGGTCTGCACATAGTTGAGACGCCAAAAAAAACCCACTGTTTTAAACTAGTTAAAGTGGACAGTCTGCCAGTAGAAGCAGGCGGTTGCCTAACTTTTAATTAGGGCATTGAGGAAACTCGATATCCACCTGCAGATTGCCTCAGCAGATAGGAAGTGATACGTAGCACCTATCTTGAAATCACAGTGACCAAGAAACAGGAAATTAAAAGAAATCTGGGCTCCTGGCCAACTCGAGCTGTGTCTGGCAAACCTGGACCTTACAGAAAATGACACATGTTCCCAAAGCAGTGGCATGTGGCTGACGTAAATTCAGTCTCCTGGGCTTCTCAATATTCCATTTCAGGGCTGACGCTGTGGCACAGTGAGTTAAGCCACCACCTGAAGTACCAGTATCCCACATTAGGGTCATTTTGAACCCTAGCTGCTCCACTTCTGATCCAGCTCCCTGCTAATGCATCTGGGAAAGCAGAAGATGGCTCAAGTCCTTAAGCTCCTTTACCTGTATCGAAGACCTGGAGGAATCTCCTGGCTCCTGGCTTCAGACGGCTCAGCTCTGACAGTTACGGCCATTTGAGGAGTGAACTAGTGGATAGAAGGTCTGTCTCTGCCTTTTTCTGTAGCTCTACTTTTCAAATAAACATAAAACCTTTTTTTTTTTAAAGATATATCCGCTTTTATTAGGAAGGCAGATTTTCAGAGAAAAGGAGAGGCAAAGAGAAAGATCCTCCATCCTCTGTTTCACTCCCCAAGTGGCTAAACAGCCAGAGCTGAGCCAATTCGAAGCCAGGACAAAGGCTGGCATCAGGAATCTGAGCCAAGTGTCAAACCCAGACACTCTTGGGGCGTGGAAGGTGTTAACCAGGATCTTAGCTGCTGGGTCAAAAACCTACTTGTGACTTCACTTGAAAAACTGAGAATGAAGGAGGGAGGGTGGGTGGGGAGATAAAGAACATCTTCTAAATGCTAGTTTACTCTCCAAACAGCTGAAAAAGCCAGGGATGGGCTAGCCTGAAGTCAGGGTTAAGAACTCCAGCTGTCTCCCACATGAGGACCCAAGCACTTGGTCATTTCCTGCTGCCTTCCCAGACACACCAGTAGGAAGGTGGATTGGAATCATAGTAGCCAGGACTTGGCCAGCACTCTGATACCAGGATTCTGGTGTTACATGTGATGGCTTAGCCCGCGGCGACACAACACTGGCCCCAGATCCTGTGATGTCTTTTTTTTTTTTCTATGAGGAAGTACTTTCTCTTAAAAAAAAATCCAGACATAGTTAACAAACTTTCACTAACAAAGGTACTGGCTGAGAGGGATTTTTAGGAGCTGGGGATTCTGCAGTACTAGGAGGAAATGATGGAACACTGCTTCATGATGAGGTCTTTCCCAAAGTGTCTTCCAGAGTCTTCCATGGGAAAATAAACTCTTTGTCAAAATCCTTTTCATATTTACTCAGCAGTTACTTTCTAGCTCCTCTGTATTATTACCTGCTTTAGGGATACACCATGTTTGGGGGAATGAACCTAGACTGTCTCTCTTACATCATCTACAACATCACTACCTGCCAGTGAGTTATTCTAGGTCCTTTGAGAAGAAATCACCAGGTAAGACTTATCATGAAAAAGAATAAGACTTTTTCTCTCTCAGGGAACGGCCCACTGCAGCGTCTTTGCCATGCTGACACTGGCTGGGAGCAACTTTTTTTTTTTTAAGATTTATATTTATTGCAAAGACAGATCAGATTTATAGACAAATATCTTCCACCTGCTATTTTACTCCCCAAATGACCACATAGGCCATAGCTGAGCTGATCTGAAGCCAGGAGTCAGGAACCAGAAACTTCTGGGTCTCTCACACGGGTGCAGGGTCCCAAGGCTTTGGGCCATTCTCTGCTGCTTTCCTAGGCCATGAACTGGGAGCTAGATGAGAAGTGAAGCAGCTGGGATATGAACTGGCATCCTCATGGGGTCTTGGTGCTTATAAGGTGAGGACTTAGCCATTGCACCAAACCGAAGAACAACTCTTGAGGAGAATGGCTTCAGGGTGAACTCAGCAACGGGTTTCAGAGCAGAACTGAACACTGGCCAATTACACTGCTCCCTACAAGACCTATTTTCATGACTTCCATATTGCACATTGGCAACCCACACTTTTGCCTCCAGGCACATCTGGCCAAAAAGCATCCCACCATTCCCATGGACCTAAGAGGAAAATACTCGAGGGAGGTTAGGGAAGAAAAGTAACATCTATTACCACAGCAGACTCTGGGCTGAACTGGTATTCACCCTGTACTTCCTCCACTTTCCCTTTATCTTCAGTCAACACCTCAGAAGTTGCAGTAGCTTCCCTGGTGATATGATCCACATCTTCACCCACGAGCTGATGGTGCTGTTAGAACTCCTGGTCACTGTCATTGTACGATCCTGCCCACGGGAGCAGAGGGCTGCCAGCGGACATTCAAGTGGATAGACATTTCTCCCTCCTGACAGATGAAAACAGCCCCATTTCACAACAGGGCTTGCCACTCCTGCCAACAGGATGACCTCTGAGCACAGGCCAGAATTCTCGGGTAGCAGCTTTAACTTGTATGCCAGTAGGTCCCCTGCTGTGACAACTGGCAAGACACCCATTTTTCCCATATTAGTTCCTAGTTTCATCATTTCTTTCTAAAGTGGACACAGCACTATTCAGAGGTCCCATTTAACCTTGTGCACTGAAGAACAGCACTCTCTACTTTAAAGTGCTGCTTTTCAGTGTTTCAGCTGTACCTTTTGAAGGCCACTGGGTAAGACCCTTTGGCTGTCTCTTCACTTCATGGTTATAATGGTCTGCTGGCAGTTCAGCACTGTTAACTGATCTTCCTTATTCTGGTGTCCCAGTCATCTTTACCATACCACTTGTTTTCCTGGGATGCTCCTGGCACTGCTTAAATTAGTCCAGGTCTTCCAGAAAGTAGAACTTAAGATTAGCCAAATATGAGACAAAGCCTGTGGGGAAAATGGGGGGGAGAGAGTCCCAAGAGCACCAACTCACCACCATGCAAGTCCAACCTTGGGGGACGGGGAGGGGCATACACAGGAAGGAAGGTTAGGGTGGGAATACCTAAGGCTGATCGTAAATTGAAATTGAATTAGAAGAGTTTGGCCAAGGTAACTGCAGAGTCTCCAAGGAAAAGCTGCCTATCAAGAGCTCTACAGCTCCCAGAAATGGGCCTGCCTTGGTACTCCTGCCGCCAGCGATCTCTGGGAAATGTGGTCCTGGCCTGGATGCTGGCACGGGCCACCTGTCAGTGATGCTGCCTACAGTTGGAGAACTCAGATTCAAGTTGTCTTTAGCTTTTCTGACAGTCCTTTTGACATCACAGACATAGCAAAGCTTTAGGCATATATTCATTAAATGTACACTATTTAAAACTTTTTTTTAAATAAAAAGGTGGTTTTAATAATCTCAAAACAAAAATCGTTACATAATAGTCCTCATATATTCCAGCGTTTATTGCAGTCTAAAGTGAACTATTTTTTTTAAAGATTTATTTCTATTGGAAAGTTAGATATACAGATATACAGAGAAGAGACAGAGAGGAAGATCTTCCAGCCGCTCACACATTCCGTAAGTGGCCACAATGGCCAATGCTGAGCTGAACCGAAGCCAGGAGCCAGGAGCTTTTTCCAGGTCTCCCATGCAAGTGCAGGGTTCTAAGGCTCTGGGCTTTGGGCCATCCTCAACTGCTTTCCTAGGCAACAAGCAGGGAGCTGGATGGGAAGCTGGGATTAGAACTGGCACCCATATGGGGTCCCAGCACATGCAAGGTAAGGACTGTAGCCGCTAGGCTACTGTGCTGGGCCCTAAAGTAAACTATCATCATTTTTCAATCCATTAGGAAAAATAAAATTTTGCATAGACCACTAAGCTAGAAGGATATATCAGTGACTTAAGACTGACAAGATTTAATGGGGCAGGCATTTGGTTTAGCAGTTAAACCTCTGGTTGACACCCATGATCAACATTGGGGTACCTGGGCTTTGAGTCCCATCTCTATTCCAGAGTCCAGCTTCCCACTAACGTGCACTCCAGGAGGTAGCGGGTGATGGCTTCCTGCCAGCCTCATGGGAAACCTGGATCGAGTTCCCAGCCCCAAGCCATGGGGGAGGGGGAGAAGATGGGGGGAGGACTTGAGGAGTCAATCAGGAGATGGGAACTCTCAGATTTTTAAAAATACTAATGGAATAAAAAATGTAATAACATACTAGACAAACTCAAATTAACCCAGCTAAGAGACATGACATTGTCACTGAAATATGAATGACCTGGGCAGGCATTTAACCTAGCTGTTAAAGATACCCACTCTGCAGTTTGGCATGATGGCTTGACTGGCTCATTCTCCACCTCCAAGTGCCATCATCCCACATGGGTGACAATTCGTATCCCAGCTGCTCCAATTCTCATCCAGTTCTCTGCCTATTGCCTGGGAAAGCAGTGGAAGGATGCCTCAAGTCCTTGGGATCCTGTACCCCCACATGGTAAGACCCAGAAGAAGCTCCTGGCTTCAGATCAGCTCAGCTATGGCCATTGTGACCATCTGAGGAGTGAACTAGCAGACGGGAATTCTCTTTGTCTCTCCTCTCCATAAATATGCCTTTCCAATAAAAAAAAAATAAATATTTTTTAAAAGGGGGTGGGGAATAGAGGAACTCCAGTATCTGGGCCATCTCCTGCTGTCTTTCCAGGCACATTATTAGCAGGGAGCCAGACCAGAAGTGAAACAGGATTGGAAGCACAGCAGCCAGGTCTCAAACCAGCACACTGACATGGACTGTCCATGTCATAAACACTGGTTTAACCTGCTGTGCCACAATACAAACCCATCTGCTTCATTTGGTTTTTAACTGCTCTGAATGCCCAATTCCCAAGGGTGCTACCTACAGCAAACCAGTCCATCATGGTGTCAAGCAACTGACACTGGCACGAAGCCTTCCGTCTGCTGCCATGGAACGAGCTGGGCATGGCTGTGGAGTTCTGAGAACCCTGTGTGCAGACTGGGCGTGGAAGACACCACATATAGACTCTTGAGGTTCTCCTCATTGGTCCACTCCATTAAGCTCGCTGAAGAAACCTGACTTCCAGTGGATCACCAAGCTAGCACACAAGCACGGGGCCGTGTGTGCTGAGACCTGCAGACTGCAAGAGCTGTGGATTTGGAAAGGGCAGCAAGTTCCACTACACTGTTGGCAGTTATTGTGGTGCAGGCACAACACTTCCAGTTGCACTGTTACCATTAACACATGTAATGTTTAAAAAATTCATATCTAATATTGCCATTTAGGACAGCCAAAAACAGAGAATTATTTAATGTATCAAGAAATGGCTTTGTAAGCTGCAAAGGGATAAAGAGCAGAAATTGTTACCCACAAACAGAAGCTAACCAGCAAATACCCTGTTTTCAGATTCATATCTTCAGGCAGTCAATGAGATGGGAAAAGCAACAGCACTGGGTTTCTTAGGAACCTGGGATTTTTTTCTACCCTAAAATATTTGTCATTTTCCCTTGGAGTTCCAGGCTCCATGACAATAGTAAGTTTACAACTGTAACTCAGTCCTCCTGATTTTACATACTCCATTGGTTGTTCAACTGGAAGACATTTCCGACCTTTCCAGCCTAATCCTAGAACACCATTGATTTACAAACATGGAGATTCCTGAACTCAAACAGAATAGAGAAACTGAGGCAAGCAGCCTTACCTAATGCTGCTGTTACTGCTGAAATGCTGCCAAATAACCAAAACAAAGGGAGTGGTGGGAGTTCCTTCCTTCCTCTCTTTTCTTCCCGTATCACAATCTTCTAGATTCAAGGAAACTAACAGGAAGCCAGCAGGCAGAGTCTGGGAAATATAGATCCTTGGATCTAATAGTCAAGAGATGTATGACTAGCATGGGGACAGAGGGAGATCATCAACATGCAAACAGTTTCCCATCAGCCATGGCAAAAGAGTAGAATTACAGCTGAAGGCTCAACCAGGGGTTTCAATCCGATGTTTATTTCACAATCGGGGACCACTGTGGGTAACTCAGACATGATATACACGCAGTGGAGAATCTACCCCAGGTTGGGGCTATATCTCTCTGCCAAGAGGCAGGTGAACTGTACCTGCCTTTTTTAGTCAAATGACAAAGGACACCAGGAGATGTTATTGTGGCAAACTCTTTATTTTCTTATTAACACTAAAATAGAAAACACAAATATTAAAAGAGTATGAACAGGTTCTACCCACCCATTTTCAAGCAGACACAAAGACACACAAAAATGACATTGTGAATCAGCTTAACTCTAAATCCTCTAATGGGGAAACCCCTATAAGAGGTAGACAGAGGTAAGGAAACATGATAGACAGGGACCTTGGTGGTACCCTGTGGACTAAAGCTAGCTAAGGACAGTTTCCTGCAGGAAGGGTGGTTCTGCTCTCCCCCAGGGCTTCCCAGTGGAAAAATCAGTCATGGTCATGTCAATTTACTTCTAAAATATCCAAGTATGCCGTAGGACTGCGAGGGTAGGCCCTGGTTCCTAGTCCTAGGGGAGATCTCGGAGTCAACTCCTCCCCTGCTAGACTGACCACCTGCATGCTTTCCGGCAGTCTGAAGTCAGGTGACTTTGGCTTTATTACAGGTATCCTGCTTCTGAAGCATCAGGCCTAAACAGCCGCCTGTAATCCTCGACGACCAAAAGAAACATCTTTTCTGAGAAAAGGGGGCTATGCCCAGGCTCCAGAAGCAGGCTTTTAAAAATTTATCTTCAGATGCAAAGAGGTCATGAAAAGGCTAGCATCTAGAATTTGGAACTTGGGGAAATCCACTGCAACACTCCCTGGTTGCTGAGATAAATCCTGGGAATGATTCAGTAGTTGGCAATCAGAAGTGTTTTATAATCAAAATAACACCTCTCTAATAATCATTAAAGGAAAAGCCACCCTGCCACCCTATCCTGAGCATGTTCTCATGAGGGTGGTGGTTTAACAAAGGAGCCTGAGGCAAAAAGCAACTGAGCCTCCACTAGAGGGAGAATAACCTTTTACTAACCACACCTTCACAAGTTATAGAGGCCAATCAGAGGGACTGAAGTCAAGCATCAGTTTACTATACCTGGATTTAAAAACATGCTCAAGAATAGTCCCTTACTGAGGGATTGGCTTATTCGGATATGAAATCTCAGAATGGTGGAAACAAGCCTTTACAGCCTCCACAGCAGTTTTAGTGCAACTTCTCTCCTCTGAGCTCTCAGTCCTTTGCTCTTGAGCTCTGATACTCAGGGAGACTTAAGAGCTTTGCCAAATCTTTCAATGTTTCCTAGTGAAGGGGAAACACAGTATTATTTCAAGCTTTGACTTGGCTAACACCAACCCTGAGATCCTAAAATAGCTACAACACTAGTCTTCCCTATTGCTGAAACAATTGGTCTCCGGTTTAGCTCTCAAAAAATGCAGTGAATTTAATGCACTCAGCATTGGCAAAGGCTCTAACCCTCATCAGTGGCCTGCATCACTGGGATTTCTCTCATCCCAGGACTGTGTGCCTTGAACACCACTGTTGCCGCAAAGAATGCCAGATATATTCTCCCACACTCTGTGGATCTGAGACCAAGATACTGAAAGGTTAGCCATTAGGATGAGAAAGAAATTAAATCATATACAAGGTTCCACAGTGCCCTCTGGTGTTCAGCAGAAGACGTGTATACCCACACTGCATTGAAGAGACCAGAATGGTTAGGCTTTCAATAAGGCAGCACCCCTAAGGCAATCAGTAGTGAAAAAGGCATTCAGAAGGGGTGTCATATTCCCTGGAAAATGCCTGGTGAATGATTGCTGAGAGGATATTCTCAGTCCCAACAGAAAGACAGGAAATAAAGGTAAGTTCCCAAACAACTCATAGAGGCTTGTAACCCAAGAAATGGACAATGTAGATGGAGTACCACCACTCAAGGGACAGAGCAGACAGATAATCCAGAGTGTCTCAGTGACCTGGTGCTCCAGAATCATATTAATCCAAAAGAACCATGGTCCCCAAATTCTAGTCCACAAGTAATACCAAAGAATATTACTGAGCACTGCCAGGTGCCAGCAAAAAACATTTAAAATTATCATCATCAGCAGTCTGAAAGTTCAAAACTAAGGTCACTGCCACCTATAGAGGTGGACCATCTTCTCTGTTAAGGTGGCCAAGTAGCTACTATGATTCACCTCAAATGGGCAGATATCCAACACAGGCTGATCAGTCTGCAGGTCCTGCAACTTGGAGCCACTGCCAGCATCCCACAGCTAAAGACAAGCAAAGACAAACGTTAAGAGTCTGCTCAGGAACATGATTTGTTTTCTTATCATCAAACAGCTTTGAATCAGTCACTAAGGCAGCCCTGCCTGGGCAGTAGACCATAACTTTCAAGCTAGCACTGATGAAATGGACCAAATACAACCTCATCTAAGAATGCGAACTTTGAATGAATTTGAAAACCAAGCCCAGCACTCATTTCTTCAATTGATGCACCAGGCAGTCTTCTAGGATTTGTCCTCTCTAGGGACGGGGAGGTCACAGGCAAAGTCCCTGGACCAGTCCTCATCGACCACACCTTCTAACTGGCATTTTCTTCTTTCTAAAGATCTTTAATGACAAGCAGCACATTATTATACCTTTACATCTGTTTTACTGATCTTACTTTTCCTTTTGCTGACTTCAGCCATTTTACTCTTTATGCATCTAAAACCTCAAAATTATGTCCAATAAAATGAATTGTAATTCCATGCTACTATATAAAAAGTAGCACATAACTCTGAGGTTTTTTACATCCTGTTTCTAATCAGAATCCAAATGTGGTCCACATTACATTTGGTGGTTATTTTTCTTTTTATTTGAAAGGCAGATTTACAGAGAAGAGGAGAGATTCCATCTGCTGGCTCACTCCAGTCAATGAAGTTTAAGCAATAGACTTTAGAAAAGCGCCCTGACAGTGCTGTTTTCAGCCTCCATTAAACTCAGTGTCAAGTACACCTTACAAGAGGCACTGTGTGCTTCACTGACCTTACATCAAAAAAGGCACAATACTGCTTACCCACTTAGAGCGATGCTAAGACTGATCAACAAGTGCAAGTGACAGGTTGATTCTTCCATGACTAATTTCTTTATCACCCTTTCATCTGTTGACTTCATTCTGAATTGATGAAGCTGCTGTCTGGGTCAGTTACTTTATTGGAGTTTCAGTAATGCATTTTCCCTCCCCTTAAAGATTATTATTCATTTATTTCTTTGAAAGGCAGAGTTATACAGAAAAACAGGAAGAGAGATTCTTTTTTTAAGGCTTATGCCTTTGAAAGGCAGAGTGTAGAGAGGGAAACACAGAGAAAGAGATTTTCTATCTACTGCTTCAGTCACCAAATGGTCACAATGGCCAGGACTGGACAAAGCCAAAGCCAGGAGCCAGGATATTAACCTAGATCTCCCATATGGATGGCTGAGATCCAAGGATTTGGGCCATTAGCAGAGAGTGGGATTGGAAGTGGAGAAGCCAAGACTCAAACTGGTGGCTTTAGGACATGCTGGTACATAGCAGATTTACCCACTATGCCACAACATTGCCTTTGAAAGACAGACTACAGTGAGAGAATCTTCCACCTGCATCTTTAGTCCCCAGATAGCTATAAGAGCCAAATCCAGGAGTTAGGAGTTTTCTCCAGGTTTCTGATGTAGGTGGCAGGGGGCTATATTCCATTGCTTTCCCCAGTGCATTAGTAGAGAGTTGAATTGTAAGTGGAGCAGCTGGGACTTGAACTAGAATGCAAACAGCATGTCAATGTTGATGGCTTAACTTGCAACACCACAATAGCTACTTAGTAAAGTGCTTTTATGTTTTTATTTGTCTGTTTTCCCCAAATATTAACAATGTGGCCCGTGGAACAGTATGGCTCAGCCAGAAAGAACGAAGTAAGTTTTCAGATATTAAAATGAAAAGATATTTAAGACATAAATTAAACAGGAGAAATAAACTATAGAGCAGTAAGTTAAGATCTGTGTGAAAAACAAAGCACAGAACCACACTTAGGCTAGGTGAGAATATGGAACAGAGCTCTGGCTCTCTACTACACATACTTTTGCACAAAATATTCAAGATTTCCAATCAATATTTATATAATATAAGTGACTTTTAAAGCAAAATAAAAAGTAATAGGCTCACCAAGGCAGAATTTGATGCTTCATCCCCAGTACACACCAAAAGGCTGCCATCATGCTTTGGACTTTGGAAGATGGCATTTTTGGTAAGTAGTTTGCAAGTGGGGCCACCGTGGAACGTCTGTACAGGATTGCAGAGGCAGACGCGGTCTCCAGCATCGTTTATCCTGTGCGACATCTCCATCAGTACACTTCGCATAGTGTTGTGGTTTTTATCTATGGGACAGAGAAATTAGTGCCACCCATGGGTGAATGAAAAGGCTATGAAATGAAAAGTATACCAAATCACCACAAATAGTTACAAAGCAAATATAGCCAACAAGAAAAAAAAATCATACTGCACAAACAAAATTTAGAAACCTAGGCTCGATAAAGCAAATTTACCAATGCCACCATGCCAAGCCAGAATTCTAGCAAGAGAGTTGTCTTAAAGAGTTTTTTCCTTCTCCCAGTTAGGTACCTACTGTTTCTATCATGTCATTATAAAGTGAAAGCATGTTATTACACAAGGGAAGCATGTATCTGAGGTTCTACTGGAAGGCAAGCAGAATAAAATGGGGCTTCCAAAGCTTTCCACACAAGTCACAGCAAATCACAGCATTGGAGACAATTTCCCAGCTCAAGCAAAACTTGTGATTTGATTTGCCCAGAGTAGCACCATTATGGTCACCTGAATGACTAACCCTATCTGAAATATTTGCCTTTCATATTAAAAAAAATTTTATTTTATTTTTTTTAATTGGAAAGTCAGATATACAGACAGGAGGAGGAGAGAGAGGATACTCCATCTGTTGATTCACTCCCCAAGTGACCACAACAACCTCTTCTGGGTCTCCCACATGGGTAGGGTCCCAAGGCTCTGGGGCCATCCTCGACTGCTTTCCCAGGCCATAAGCAGGGAGTTGGATGGGAAGCAGGGCTGCCGGGATTAGAACTGGCACCCATATGGGATCCCGGCACATTCAAGGTGAGGACTTTAGCTGCTAGACTACCACGCTGGGCCTCATCATTTTTTTAAACATAGTTGCAACCTTGGCATTTGTGTTCAAACCTACAGTAAATTGTTTCAAACTTAGATGTGACACCTTAATCTAAAAAGCATGAATCTTAAACTTCTTTCTCGGCCAAGGATGTCCTAGATAGTGGCTATACTGGTAGGAATAAAACAGATAGGTCAACAACAACAAAAAAAAGTCACAAAGGTAGGATGTGATATAGTGAATTAAACTGTGAAGTCAACATCCCATACCAGAATCCTGTTGGTCCACTTCACCCTAGCCCTGTGCTAATGTACCTAGTATAGTAGCAAATGATGACTCAAGTATTTGTTCCCCTACCACCCACATGGTAATCAGGTTGTAGTTCCTTGCTCCCTACCCATTGTGGCCATTTGGAAAGTAAACAAGTGGATGGAGAGTCATTTCTCTCTTTCAAAAACAAAAGTAAAAAGATGGGCCTGGCACAGTGGCGTGGCCTAGCAGCTAAAGTTCTTGCCTTGAATACACCAGGATCCCATATGGGTGCTGGTTCTAATCTGGCAGCTCCACTTCCCATCCAGCTCCCTGCCTGTAGCCTGGGAAAGCAGTCGAGGATGGCCCAAAACCTTGGGACGCTGCACCCATGTGAGAGACCTGGAGGAAATTCCTGGCTCCTGGCTATGGACTGGCGCAGCAATGACCACTGCAGTCACTTGGGGAGTGAATCAGATCTTTCTCTCTCCTCTCTGCATATCTGACTTTGCAATAAAAATTAAAAAAAAACAAATCTTTAAAAAAAAAAAAAGTAAAAAACTGCCAACTGCAGGACTGGGATCCTATATGAGTGCTGGTTCAAGTCCTGGCTGTTCCACTTCTGATTTAGCACCCTGCTAATGCACCTGGGAAAGGAGTGAAAGATGGCCCCAAGTGCATGGGCTCCTGCATCCACACAGGACATCAAGAGGAAGCTCTTGGCTCCGGAATGGTCCAGCTTCAGCTATGTGAGGAGTAAACCACTGGATAAAAGACATCTCTAACTCCTACAAATAAATAAATCTTTCTTTTTTTAATCATAAATGGACCTGCCAGTACAAACAAATTTGCTTTGAGACTAACTCTTTGGTCACAGGTTAAACAGATTATCCACCAGGAAAAAGTGCTAGTGACCGGCACATTGCAGGCATCCTCAACCAAATCCTTGGACCGTCAGGACCAAGCTAGAGTTTATAGCCAATTTCCTGAAACTGACACACAAAACCTAATTGGGAAGGGATAAAGCACTACAATAGCAAATATCAGTATGATGCATAAGAAATCTAGATTCATGCCTTTCAGGTTACAAAAACCCAGTGAACTGAAGTAGTCAGCTGCAGTGGGTCTGCTCCTGGCTCTCAAGTCAGCTGACTAGGTCCACCCACACAAACATGACTATCCACTCCTTTACCTGTATAGACCCCAAGTAAGAGGGAGGCTAGGGCCCGGTGCCATGGCCTAGCAGCTAAAGTCCTTGCCTTGAAAGCGCCTGGATCCCATCTAGTCCCAGCAGCCCCGCTTCCCATCTGGCTTTCTGCTTGTGGCCTGGGAAAGCAGTCAAGGAAGGCAAGGTGTGAAGTACGAGCTGTTAACCTCACAATCCCTATAAGGGAAGGGTCAAACCCTCCTTACTTCTCCTCTATCATTCTGCTCCCAAAGAAATAATAGGAAGCCCCAAGCACACTTTGACGCTTACCTGGCCTGAAGGTCACAAGACAGTGCCGGGTGTTGTTTTCGGTCTGAAAGTCTACGCAGCCCCCTTGCTCCAAGGGCAGTGAATAAGGCCAATGCAGAAGGCCTGCTTTCAGCTCCCAGAAGCAAGCATTCTCCAAGGTTCCAGCCAGTACCCCACCATACGGAAAGGCAGCTGAGGCAGCTTTGGGTATGTATGACAGGGATACCATTGGGCATCTGAAGGAAGAGAAAGGACACCATGCCTCAGACCCTAAGACCTGATGGCTCTAGACACCACTATCAGGAGACCTACGCCACATTCCCACCTCACGTCCACCGAAGATGCACCGCTGTGCTACCTTCTGTTGACACCTAATAAAAACTACCAACTCTGTAGAAAGCAAAAGGCATATAACATTCTGCACTTACTACCACGGAAAGAGCAGGAGCTCTGCAAGAAATTAAGGTGGGGTGAGGGTGGGGAAAGAACTAGGAAACTTATGGACCTAATCAAAATGATTAAGAAATGCAAATGATATGAAATCTCTAGAAATGGGATTAGGCATGAACAAAATATGCTCCACTTCTAATGCAGATCCCTGCTAATTAATGGCCCAGGAAAAACAGCAGATGGTGGCCCAAATATTTGGACACCTGACAGCCCAGTGCTGGCTGTGGTATCATCTGGAAAATAAACTAGCGGAAGGAAGATCTCTATAATTCTTTCAAAACAAATAAATATAGCTTATATATATAGTTAATATATATATATATATATATATATATAGTTTAAAGCAACTTTAGTTCAGAAACTAAACTAATTTGTTTCAAATTTTCTAAATTTCTTTCTGCAAACCTATGACCAAGACTGAATGTCAAGAATTCTTAGAAACATGTCTTCAGAGTATGTTCCTCTGAATTCATTTGCAGTAATATTGCCGAGACCATTTTCTCTAATACAATAACCCAAGACAAACTAAAATAAAAATGAGTAAAACACACATCCTTTCCCTGTTATTTTTAAACTCATACTTCACACGCCTCCTCCCTCTGCAGCAATGGCAGCTACTTCATTTGCCTGGAGTTCCTATCAGTCATCTTCAAGCCTGTGAACTAAAACATGATTCCATGCTTCTCTGGATGGAAAAAACTCCACCATGTTGAGCCCAAGTCTTAGTAAACACCGATTACTGCAGTGCTATCATCCTATGTGTTCATGTGCATTCAATCAAACTGGAAATGGGAAATCTCTCTTAAGACATTGTTCATCTGGCTGGATCACAGAACTCACTCACTGAGAAGTTCATACATCAAGGACAGTCCCAAGGGCATGCAGCACATTCTGAGCAGCAACAATGTTGTCACCCTCAGAATTTAGGCCAACTAATTTACACGCCTTGTTATAATATAACTGGACTATAAATGAAAATAAGTAATATATTTTCCTCAGACCAAGTTTAGCTTTGGATTAGGGAAGTTTCAAATCACTTTCTATTATGCTACCCTCCACTGGTCTCTCCCAGCATGCTAGACAGGTAGCATCTAAAGCAAGGCTACAATAGCCACATTTCACAAAGTTCACAACAGGCTAAGCAACATGACTAAGGTCACATAACTTACAGACAGTGGAGTCTGGTTCTGAACACAAATCTGATCTGAACTCAGCTATACTTTATACCAATGCTTTTTGACAAAACATAAACATTAAGGATGTTCACGATTATCAAAGAAGACATCAGTGGATCTTCAAGAACTGGCTCCTGTTGGGATTTTCGACCAACTATAGAACACGCTCTGAAGAGAGAATATAACAACAACCACCCATGAAAAAGCGGTTATCCAGTGAAAAACTGTTGCCTACCTGGCTCTCTGAGAGACCAATTCCTGGACGTGACATCTTGTATTCCGCAGGTCATATACAAGGATTGAACCGCTGACCAGTCCAGCATAGAAATACTGGCTTTCATCGAGACACCAGCAACAGCTCCAAACAGGCCGTCCAGTATTGTAAGTCTGCACCACAGTATTTGTCTCCAGGCTATGACATTACAAGAGATTTTTATAACCAAGCATTAAGAAAACCACATGGTGGGCCTGACGCAGCAGCCTAGTGGCTCAAGTCCTCATGTTGCCAGCACTGGCATCCCATATGGACACTGGTTTTAATCCCAGTAGCCCAGCTTCCCATCCAGCTCCCTGCTTGTGGCCTGGGAAAGCAGTCAAGGACAACCTAGCCTTTAGACCCTGCACCCATGTGGGAGACATAGAAAAGACTCCAGACTCTGGCTTCAGACTGGCTCAGACCTGGTTGTTGAGGCTGCTTGGGGAGTAAATCAATGGATGGAAGATTTTTCTGTTTCTCCTCCTCTCTGTATATCTGGCTTTCCAATAAAAATAAATAAATCTTAAAAAAAAAAAATCCATGGCAGGGGCACGTGGGAGTGGTGTGCATAAAGGCAGCAGTGTTGTCCTGTAACCATTTAAGCCACTGCCTTCAAAGCATCCCATATGGTTAATATGGTTACCAGTTCAAATCCTGACAGCTCCTTGTCCTTGTCTTGCTAATGGGTCTGAAAAAGAGCAACAGATGACTTTTGAAATAAATAAATATTAGAGCAGGTTTTATGGCTTAGTAAGCCACGCCTGTGGTGTCTACATCCCCATAAGGGACCCAGTTCTAGTTCCCAGCTGCTCCAGTTCTGATCCAGCTCCCTTGCTTATGGCCTGGGAAAGCAGTAGAGAATGGCTCAAGTTCTTGAAGTTCTGCATCCATGTGGGAGACCCAGACGAAGCTCTTGGCTGCTGGCTTCAGACCAGTTCAGCTGTTATCATCACGACCATTTGGGGAGTGAACCAGAGAACTGATGGTATCTTCTTCTCTTTTTGATTCTGCCTTTCCAATAAAATAATAAAATACGTATTTAAAAATAATATTTAGAAAAACAAAACTGTTTTTACAATGCACATAGAGTGTGCAAAAAGAAAAAAAAAAGTCATCAGAGCATCTAAGGACAGCTAGGGCCTTGTGAGCACCCTACAATTTTTTTAGGAGGTGAGGGGGAGAGAGAATTCACTCCCTAACTGCCCACGATAGCCAGGGCTGGGCCAAGTCAAACCAGGGCGTGAGGAACTCAAGCCAGGTCTCTCAGGGCAGGGCTGAATTACTTGCTGCCTTCAGGGATGTGCATATACAGTGAGCTGGATGTGAGAGTGGAGCCAGGACTCAAACCCAGACTCTGACATGGTGTCCTAACCAGCAGCTTAACTCTTACAAAAGCCTGTTCCCAGTGAGTATCTTCGCTAGGTTTGTTAACCAGTCAGAAGATGATATGGTAACTTCAAAGTGTCATGAGCTAAAGTTTCCCATCTGCTATCTTTGTATCATTTGCATGGATTAAGACGTATTTTGAACAAATATAATTTTACAGATATGGGATAGTACCTGAATACTTTTGTAACCTGCAGTGTGCACTCTGAGAAGCAATACACTTTAAATGGACTACAGAAGATAGTGCATGCCTCAGATCAAGAAAAGAACGGTAAGAACATCATAATAGTGACAGTAATTCAGTGGTGGTAGCACTAAGCAGGAGGGGTCCCATCTTCTATCATAAAGTACTCACCTGGTCAGTTTAATTGTATTGTCCAAGGAAGCAGAAAGCAGCAAGCCTTTAGACCGGGTGTTGAAAGCCAAACCACGGATCTGTTTGCTATGCATCGGAATATATTGAGTGCTTTTCATGTTGGCAGTACTCAACATCCTAACACCAAAGCCTGATAAAGACAATATGAAACAGATCAGTAAAAGTCCACGTTGGGCAAAGCATGCACCTGTCTTGGCATACAGGTTCCAGGAAACCAACTGATAAAACAAAAAAAAATTCCTGTCTTACAATTTATTTTAAATGGTGTATGTATCCAAAATATCCACTAACAAATAAGCAATTTTACTGTATACAAAGCAATAAACTACCAATATACACAGTAACTCCTATCACAAACATTACAGAGTCATTTTATTTGTATAAAATTGCAGAAGATGCAAACTAATTTACAATGATTAAACTCAGATTGGAGATTGGCCTACTGGAACCACTCAAGTTGCAGAAGGGACAGCAAATAGTAAAAAAAAAAAAAAAGGGGAGAAAAATAATTTGTCATCTGATCAAGTTATGCTACATTATCTGAAGTGGAATGAAACAGACGACATCTCAGAATCCAATCAATGTCTAACATTTGTGGGAGGGGGACAATAAAAATGTGCACCCTTAATTTATTTGTTACTCTGTTCTCTTACATAAAATTACATATTCTGTAATCTTAGTTACATAAAAATATGTAATTTGTTAACTTCTAGATTAAAGACAGCCTTCAATCACATGAACTACTACAGGAAACCAAGCAAGATGAAGTTTACTGTGTTCTCTCCTGGAACAAAATTAGGAAAGTCAGCAAAAAATAAGGAACCCATGAGCTTTAAATCGACAACGAAATTCGACCACATGTCTTGTTAATCACCAAGATAAAAAATGCAAACTAGCACTGCAGGCTAGAAAGCAGTCAGCTGCAACGGTAACAGACAACACGAAGAAAAAAGGACCGAGCAGCATCAAAAGAAATAAAACATTTTTTCCAATTTGTGGCAAACTTTCATTCAATGATAAATCTTTTTCTTGGGATATAAAGAATATGAAACAATCCTTTCACTTTTCCTTAAAAAATGAAATCTCCTGATGGCCTCTCAACTCACAGCTTCTCTCAGCAAATGGAGAACTGTATGATAATCTAGGATTACATTCTCAACCATTTTTATCTAGATTTAGGAACACAGTTGTGAAGTATTTGAATGAAACTTTAACAATCACTTATTTATTTGAAAGACAAAGAGACACAGAGTCAGAGTTCCCATCCATTGGTTTACTATTCCCCAAATGTCTACAGTAACAGAGTTGGGCTAGGGCAGAATGCATAAGCCAGGAACTCAACCCAGGTCTCCACGGATCTGGGAGTGACCCCATCATCAGAGCCATCACCACTGTCTCCCAGGGTCTGCATTAGCAAGAAACTGAAGTCAGGAGCCTGATAAAGAATCCAACCCAAGTATGGAGATGTGAGACATAGGCTTTTTAATGCTTGGCTAAATGCCTACTCAAATGAAGCTTTTAAGCAGGGAAACAAAGAAACAGGGTTGAGGCAAAGGGACTCAGTTGGCAGAAATCATTTGTTTAACATAATACAAAGAAACATTCAGAAATAATTTAACTGAGCAAGCAAAGAGATTTGATTTTTAACATTAAGACAACAGTACATAAAAACCACAAAATATTTTGTGAAAAAATTAGTATAGTGCTAATAAGGCAATTAATATACTTCCCCAAATTCTCTCTTGGAATTCATCAACTTGAAGACTACTGAAAATAAGTTTGTAATTTCGTTTTTACTTGAATTAGCCCCTGGGGAAGCATTCTGTCAAATGTTTCTAACCTAAAATGTTTGTGTTGTGGTTTCACAGATTAAGCTGCTGCTTGGAACACCATCATCCAATATCAGAGTACCAGTTCACATCTCAGCTGCTGTACTTCCAAACACAGCAGAAGACGGCCCACGTAGCTTGGCTGTCACCCAAATGGGAGTTTCAACATCCTGGTCTCAGCCTGGCCCAGCCCTAAACACTGTGGCCATTCGTGGAGTTGACCAGTGAATGGAAGATCCCTGTGTCATTGCTATGCCTTTCAAATACATAAAATGAAACTTTAAAATAAAATTGTAAGTTGAGTGGGATATATACAGAGTGGCATTATCCTCCTTGGACTACCACGGGTAACCTATGCTTCATACCCCATTCTCTTCTACTTCATCATGATTACCAGCATTTCTCACCCCTGATATTTACAGATTGAAGGCAACAGACACTATAGATATTTTTTTTCAAGTATGAGGAAGTATGTGATTAACAGAAAGTTAACAGGAAAAGGTGATTTGTGAGTTGTAGTCAATGCTCACTTACTCCTAAGTCCTAGAATCTCGAAAAGCAGACAGGAAAGAAGCAAATGGAGTCCAACAATGAATGTGAAGGCTGGAATTCTGGGGGTAGTTACCTGGAAGGAACGAGGCCTGAGGAGAAGGCTGCGACACCACCAGGCAGCTAAGAGAATCACAGTATGCCATGATCCGGCAGTTTCCTGTCTGAGATACTGGGAAGGTCTTCTCGAAGTGGTATTTGTGCTGCCCCTGGCTGGAAGGCTGGCAGCCCAGGGACTGTGCCTGAGAGCCTCCGGGCTGCTGTAAAGTCTGTTCCCTATGTTGTAGAATCAGGGTTTGCAAGTCCTAAAATAATTACAACTTTATAAATGAAAGGCTTTTTTCATTTAATAGTTACCTCAAACACAATCTCATGATCTAAAATAGAAAAATAAAAATATCACCTCAGAGAACTGGCAAATCTATAAAAAGTTCTGGTCATTTTGCCTAAAGCTCTCCTGATACTGGGCAATTTGTGTGGAATAAAATGACTTCAGCTCAGCCCCAGCACAATGTCTCAATGACTAAATTCTCACCTTGCAAGCATTAGCATCCCACATGGGTCCCAGTTCATGTCCCAGCTGCTGCACTTGCCTTCCACTTTCCCTGATTATAGCCTTGGAAAGTAGCAGAGGATAGTTCAAAGCCTTGGGACCCTATACATGCATAGGAGACGAAGAAGTTGTGCCTGGCGCCTGGTTTCAGATCGGCTCAGCTCTGGCCGTTGTGGCCGTTTGGGGAGTGAACCAGTAGATGGAAGATCTTTGTCTCTCCTTCCAAAGAAAATAGAACAAATCTTAAGAAAAAAAAAAAAAAAAAACCTTGGGGCCCGGCGGCGTGGTCTAGCAGCTAAAGTCCTTGCCTTGATCGTGCTGGGATCCCATATGGGCACTGGTTCTAATCCTAGTAGCCCTGCTTCCCATCCAGTTCCCACTTGTGCCCTGGAAAAGTAGTTGAGAACAGCCCAAAGCCTTGGGACCCTGCACCCACATGGGAGACCCAGAAGAGTTCCTGGGTCCTGGCTTCGGATCAGTGCAGCTCCAGCTGTTGTGGCTGCCTGGGAAATCACTGGATAGAAGATCTTCCTCTCTGTCTCTCCTTTCTGTATATCTGACTTCACAATAAAAATAAACAAACCTTTAAAAAATACTTAAGTTCAAGTCTAATTTTTATATTGTTTATTATTTTAATTTTCTTCTGAAATTCAGACAGCAGCAACTCACATAAAATGCCCACATTTTGGACAATGCTCTAGTCAGAAATAAAAAACTAGTCAAGTTTACTTCTAAACAATTAGACAAACACTACCCATATTTGAGATAAACCTAAGTAATGTTCAGATTCCTTAACAACTGCTATTCCAAAAGTTTTTAGGAAAAGGGCAAACTTACCTGAATACGATTCTGCAGTTTAGTGCATTCATTAGTGAGGACCTCGAGCTGCAGCCGGCACTGGGCTGATTCTAACTCAGCATGCTTCCTAAGCATTTGCTCCTTCAGTAAGGAACTAGAGGGAGAAAGCCAGCAAAGCGAGATGAGGATGGGGTTAGATCAGCAAGGCCACGGACTTCCCATCAAGAGGGCACAGTAAATACACACTATGATGCACACTTTGCTGAAAACAGATCATGATAATGAATAAAACATACAAAGATTTCTTTTAAGGGCCTGGCGCGGTTAAAGTTCTCGCCTTGAACACGCCAGAATCCCACATAGGTGCCTGGTTTGTATGCCGGCAACTCTGCTTCTCATCCAGCTCCCTGCTTGTGGCCTGGGAAAGCAGTCGAGGACAGACCACATTCTTGGGATCCTGTACCCGCGTGGGAGACCAGGAAGGTCTTGGCTTCTGGCTTCGGACTGGCATAGCTCCAGCCATTGGGGAGTGAATCATCATCAGACAGAAGAGCTTCTTCTTTGTCTCTTCTCTCTGCATATATGATTTTGTAATAAAAATACATAAATCTTTAAAAAAAAAAAACAAACTTTGGGGCCCGGCGCAGTGGCGCAACTGGTTAAGGTCCTCGCCTTGCACGCCCGGGATCTCATATGGGCACCGGTTCTATTCCCGGTGGCCCCACTTCCCATCCAGCTCCCTGCCTGTGGCCCGGGAAAGTAGTCAAGGACAGCCCAGAGCTTTGGGACCCTGCACCCGTGTGGGAGACCCAGAAGAGGCTCCTGGCTTCTGATCGGCATAGCATCGGCCGTTGCGCTCACTTGGGGAGTGAATCATCATCGGACGGAAGATCTTCCTCTCTGTATATCTGCCTTTCCAATAAATAATAATAATAATAATAAAAAAAAAAACCAAACTTTGAAATCTAGAAACTATCAAAAAGTAGCATACAGGACTAAGCCCATGAGCTAAAACTTTGGCGTTAAACCAAGCATCTGTTGCCTTTGGTTCACTGGAGGGACCCAGCCACCCAAAAGTGGAGAGTTCCTGAGTACCTGCTAACTAGGGTTTGCTTGTGTTTTCCCAGAAACAACTGCAGTCTGTGTGGGTGCCTGCTCATAACGTAAAGCCCTGTACCCCATCCACTGGAGGAAGCCCCTCCAGTAAGACAACCTCGCAACCTCATCCTGAAAGATCCATCACCATCAAGGAGACAATGGAGGAGGAAGAGGCCACATCCCTCCCAACACTGGGTGACATGGGGGATTTTAAGAGATTGGCACATCAAGCACAACTGTCCCTGACTTCATGATGCATTTGATAAAACAACTGAATGACTGATATCCTGGAATACTAATAATCTGTGGAAAAGATTATGCTTTTTGTCCCTAAAATTTCCTGATGGATCCTCAAAACTATGGCTCATCTGACCTCGGAAGTGCAGCAACTCCCTCGAATACAACACTGCCCCTGGAGAAGATGGAACCCTTAGTGCAACTGCTCTAAGAATTGAAAAACTAAATTTGTTTAATATTCCTCTTGTTCTACTACAGGTCAGGAGTGCAGAGAAATTCCCCACCTTCTTACAATGTTTGAGGAAGACTTTAAGTGTAACTTATTTACAGATAACAAATTCTTAATAGCCTTAGACATTAGAAAAACCATAAAAATTTGTGGTGGGATCCAAGAACAACCCTGACACCCTCTTAAAAGGAGGGTGTGTGTATAGAGCAGCAGGGGATCTCAGGGTGGACAGGAGCATGAGAGGAGGTCTGTTTCCTAGTCCCGGAGACTCCCAGAGGCCTCCCAAGTGCTTTTACCACAGAAGCAAAGGATGCTTTGTCGAGGACTGTCAGTATGGACACCAAAAACCGTATCCTGACTGCCTAGGAGATCACTGGGAATATGAATGCCCTCAGAGGCAGAGAACTCTGAGGTCAGTCATTTCCTATTGGATTTCCCACACGGGATGGTAGCAGCCCAAAACCCTCTCATAGGGTCTGGTGACATCGGAACTACAGCCAGGAGCCCCAAGAGGCACTCAGAGATCAAAGGATTGTAAATTTCCTTCAGGACTCAGGAGAGGAGCTTTCTCAGGTTCTTATCTAGTTCCAGCCTTGGATCCCAGCACTCTCTTATACCAACCACTAGGGTTGCTTGTGAGCCCCAAAATTAGTTCAGATAATCAATGACTAACAAAGGTCAGATAGTTGATAATCATTCAGCTTGTACCTTACTGATCAGGCTTCCCATCTGGCTTTTCAGATAGACAGAGACACTCACTGACATAGATAGTCTGGAACAGCCAGGGAAAAGGCCAACTAGCCTGTAATCGCTCAGCCTATACTTACTGGTCAGGCTCCCTATTCGCTTCTCCTGGACTTTACTAGGTAGGATGCAGAGTTAAATTGTTGGGGATTTCCCTGCTCACCTGCCTAAAACTTTTCTATACTTCAATTGTTAAAATGCAAAGTTCTATAAAACCATGCTTAATCACTGTATGCTGCAAAGTTTAAATTGTGGCTTAATATTCTACCCCCCAAAAATTGCTCAATTTATGACTGTTGATGCTAAGCCAAAATGTAACTGCATAGAAACTTTGATGTTAAGTTTGTACTCAGCTGTTATATATGATGGATGTTAATGCTGATCCTTTCACTGTTCCTGTGCCACTCTGATTTAGGCTAACTCAAAAACAAGTTAGCTTGGGAAGAAAAAAAAAAGGTTTATAGCAGCTGGTTGTATATATACTAAAACTGAGATGTCAAAGAAGTAGTTACAGGATGTAGTTAAGAACCTGCATTTTCAAACATATTGGTCACTCAATACCATGTTAATTAACTTCATGATGTTGTTGATTTCCATGTTTCTTCCTGTTGAGTGATATCTCATTGAAGGGGATGAGATTCTGCCAGCTCTACTTTTAGACCAAGGAAGGTCTCCCAATGAAACTGTTGAATTTATTTGGACAATAAGATGCTGGACTCTCCGCATGGTCCATGCCCGCAATGAAGGAATCATGACTGGTTATGCACTGTACTACTGTAACAATAGGAGGAATTCAATATGAAGAGGGAGGGTTTGAAGAGAGACTGGGGGAATGCCAGAGCCTATGAAACTGTGTCATAAAATTATATAAAACAAATAAATAAATAAACAAAAGAAAAAAAAAAAACCAAGCATCTGTGATGAGGAATGTTAAAGCAACTAGGGATATGGGATGGGAACTATTTGCCACAGGTAAAAGGAAGGTCAAGGCCAGCTCACTGCCACAGCTAATGTAAATTACAGATTACACAAACAGGTTAAAGGCCAAGATTCTCCTACACTTGATCTTAGCCAAAAGGCCGAGAAGCGATGCCAAGGTTCTGCTAAAATAAGCTGCTATTCATGAGACACTCTAAGAAAATAATATCACAAAAGCAAAAGCAAATACTAACAAAAGGATAACAAATTAGAATTAAGGAAGAGGCTGACGCTGGGATCCTACATGGGCGCTGTTTCATATCCCAGCTGTTCCACTTCATGATTCAGCTCCCTGCTTATGGCATGGGCCTTGTATGGTGGCTTAGAGGCTAAAATCCTTGCCTTGAACGCGTCAGGATCCCACACTGGAGCTGGTTCTACTCCTGGCAGCCCACTTCCCATGCAGCTCCCTGCTTGTGGCCTGGGAAGCAGACGAGGGTGGCCCAAAGCCTTGGGATCCTGCACCCAGTGGGAGACCTGGAAGAAGTTCCTGACTCCTGGCTTCAGATCAGAGCAGCACCGGCCGTTGTCACCTGGGGAGTGAATCATCTGATGGAAGATCTTCCTCTCTGTCTTTCCTCCTCTCAGCATATCTGACTTTCCTTGAGCCCTAGCACCTAGGAGACCAAGAAGAAACTCCTGGGCCTGGCACAATAGCCCAGTGTCTAACGTCCTTGTCTTGCATGCGTCGGGATCCTGTGTAGGTGCCAGTTTGTGTCCCAGCAGCCCTGCTGCACATCAAGCTCCCAGCCTGTGGCCTGGGAAAGCAGTAGAGGATGGACCTAAGCCTTAGGAGTCAGCACCCACGTGGAGACCTGAAGAAGCTTCTGGCTCCTGGCTTCTGATCAGCTAAGCTCCACCCAATGCAGACATCTGGAGAATCAATCAGCAGATGAAAGATCTTTATGTCTCTCCTCTCTGCATATTTGACTTCCCAATAAAAAAAACTAATTAATTAAAAAAAAAAAGGCATCTTCTTACTCCTAGCTTCAATCAACCCAGCTCTGACCACTGTAGCTATTTGAGAAATGAACCGTGGACAAAAATATCTCTTCCTGTATCACCTTTTCTCTCTGTAACTCTGCCTTTCCAAAAATTAATTAACGAATTAATTTTTTTTTTTAAGATTTATTTTTATTATTTTTTCATTGGAAAGGCGGATATACAGAGAGGAGAGACAGAGAGGAAGATCTTCCGTCCGATGATTCACTCCCCAAGTGAGCGCAACGGGCCGATACTATGCCGATCCGAAGCCAGGAGCCTCTTCTGGGTCTCCCACGCGGGTGCAGGTTCCCAAAGCTTTGGGCTGTCCTCGACTGCTTTCCCAGGCCACAGGCAGGGAGCTGGAAGGGAAGTGGGGCTGCCGGGATTAGAACCGGCGCCCATATGGGATCCCGGGCGTGCAAGGCGAGGACCTTTAACCACTTGCGCCACCGCGCCGGGCCCAATTAACGAATTAATTTTAAATAAACAATCTTTTAAAAAGTTGACAAGGAAGAGACAAGTTGCCCTTATTTTCACGAATGACTCAAGAGAACTCACAATGTTTTTCCATTTCAACAAAGTTGTTGAAATCAAGGTACCAAGAAAATTAATCAGTGGGACTCTTTATATATCAAATATATGATTTACAAACATAATAGGAAATAATATATTTACAGTAGCAATATTAATGATGGCAATTCAGGAATAAAGTTAAAGTTATACAGTATTTTACCAAGCAGAGTATAACTGAGGAGAGACAGTACAGAAAATAAATGGCAGAATATTTTGCAATGTTCACAGCTGGAGAAACAAAGTTATCATGAAGATATTTCAAGTAACTCTATGAATTTGATGTTACTTAGAATCCAAAAATATTTTTTGAAAAAGATTTATTTATTCTTATTGCAAAGTCAAATATATGGAGAGGGGAGACACGGAGGAAGATCTTCCATCCAATGATTCACTCCCCAAGTGACTACAATGGCCAGTGCTGTGCCAATCCAAAGCCAGGAGCCCAGATCTTGTTCCCGGTCTCCCACAAGAGTGCAGGATCCCAAGGCTTTGGGCTATCCTTAGCTGCTTTCCCAGGCCACAAGCAGGGAGCTGGAAGGGAAGTAGAGCTGCCGGGATTAGAACCAGCGCCCATATGGGATCCTGGTGCATTCAAGGCAAGGATTTTTGCCTTTAAGCCGCCATACAAGGCCACTGCGCCAGGTGCCCAAAAGGATTTTTCATGGAACTTAAAAATTAACATGGAATAGCAGCTACTCAGAACAGAAAAACCAAATTTTAATTTCTGAAAAGCAGGGAAATGTAGAGCAGAGAGAAAGAAAATGACAGATCTGCACTCTGGCTCAATACCCAGGACAATTCAGTCAGACCAAAGGAAGGAGTCCAACCTCATACTCAAGTGGGATGTGTTATAGTGATTTAAGTTCTATGCCATTCGCCATAACAAAAGACAACCTTGAAGAAAAATAAGGTAAAAAGAGAAAAAGGAGAATTTTCCATCTAATGTTTCACTACTTAAACAGCTACAACAGTCATGGCTAGGCCAGGCTAAATCCAAGAGCCAGGAACTCCAACTGGGTCACCCACATGGATGGCTGGGGTCCAAACACATGAACCATCATCCATTTCATTCCTACATGCATTAACAGGAAGCCCAATCAGAAGTGGGGAGCCAGAAACTGGCATTGTGAAAATAGGATGCTGGTATCCAAAGTGGTCAGCTTAACCCATATGCCATGCCAGTCTACCAAACTCTCACTTGTACGGTGTGAAGGAAAACAAACCATGTAGGCCTCCTTTAGAATGCATCACATACGTATTAACAATAATGTAAGAGCCTACCAATGATCTTCATTGGTCAAGGCAAAACTCCTCACACCAATATTGGGTCATATATCTTTTTCATATGTGCCTATCAAAAAGGAAAAAAAAAAAAAAGCAGAGGAAACATCCCAGCTGGGCACACGTAACACCTACCTCTTGAGCTGCTCCTGTTCACTCGTGTCCAAAGCTCTCAGATTTCGGGCATAAAGAACAACGATGTCACTGTGCTTGGCTTTCTTATTGCACTAAGGAGCCCAATAGGACATAATTAGTATAAGCGTAAGGATTCTGCATTAAAACAGTTCATCCTAACCTATGTCCTTACCTGGGGACATTTTCGTACTTGTCCTTTGAGCCACTGAGAAATGCACTTATACCCAAAGAGATGCCCACAACGTAGTGCTGTCAGCCGGTGTTCCCCAGCATTGGTCCACTGTTCCAAACAAATCGTGCAAGTGTCCCCTTCTTCATCATCAACAGAAGCAGAAGGTGCGACAGGGCTGGACCCACTGCGAGACTGAACACAAAGTGGAAGGCACTCAGAAGACAGGATACGTAAAGTCAGTCTTAAGACAATATGCAATTCTTCCAGATTAGGAAGTATACAAAAATTATACACATCTAATGGAAAAGACAAAGAACCTGCAACACCAATGAATTATTTATCATTCCTTCCAGACTGTAATCTACAAAAACTTAGCACAAAGCATGAAAATACTGCAACTCTTTGATCTTAAGAAATTTCTGGATTACTTTTATCTTTTCATAAATAAAAACAGATAACAAAACATCAGTAACAAGTTTATACAAATTAAAAATTACGTTCATTATCAATTCAGGCTTTATATTTTGGCTCATGTGGATCAAAGAAAAAAAAACTAGGAAACTACAGAGAGGATATAAACAAAGACATATAAACATGGAAAACATGATTCCCTATATATATTTTTTATTGGCAATGCAGCTTTTACATAGAGAAGAAAAGACAAAGATCCTCCATCCACTGGTTCAATTCCCCAAGTGGCAGCTACAGTCAGAGCTGAGTCAACTTGAAGCCAAGAGCTTCTCCCAGGTCTCCGAGCAGGTGCAGGGTACAGAGGCTTTCCCACCCATGTGGGAGACCTGGAGGAAGTTCCTGGTTCCTGGCTCCTGATCGGCACTGCACCAGCTGTTGCACTCACTTGGGGAGTCAATCACTGGACAGAAAATCTTCCTCTCTGTCTCTTTTCCTCTCTGTATATCTGACTTTGTAATAAAAATTTTTTAAAAAGAACAATGATGTAAAGCAATTATAAAAACTGTTTACCATACAATAATCACATTGTCTTTGATAATTTGTAAGAAACACATTTACAAAATTTTCAGGCAGATAATGAATGCCTGAAACTGGCATTCGCGAACTTTTTCTGTTTTTACAGTTTTTATGTTAATATAAGAAAGTCAAGATGCAGAGAGGAGAGACAGAAAAGAAGATCTTCCATCTGTTCATTCACTCTCCTAGTGGCCTCAACGATCTGAGCTGGCCAATCCGGAGCCAGGAGCTTCTTCTGGATATCCCACACCAGTGCAGGGGCCCAAGGACACAGGCAATCCTCTCTATGCTTTCCAAGGCCACATGCAGGGAGCTGGATGGGAGATGGAGCAGCTGGGACACGAACCGGCGCGCATATGAGAGACTACCAGTTGCAGGTGAAAGATCAGCCAATTCAGCCACCACACCAGTACCAGGAATCTTTTTTTTTTTTTTTAAGATTTTATTTTTGGGCCGAATATGATGGCTCAACAACTAAATCCTTGCCTTGCACCAGATCTCATATTGGTGCTAGTTCATGTCCAAGCTGCTTCGCTTCCCGCCCAGCTCCCTGCTTATGGCCTAGTTAAGCAATAGAGGACGGTCCGAGGCCTTGGGACCCTGAACCCATGTGGGAGACCCAGAAGAGGCTTCTGGCTCCTGACTTAAGATCAGCTTAGCTCTGATCACTGTGGTCATTTGGGGAATGAACCAGCAGATAGATCATTCTATCTTTCCTTCTATATGTAAATCTGACCTGCATTTCTAATAAAAATAAATAAATCTTAACCAAAAATAAAAAGATTTACTTTATTATTTCTATGAAAAGTAGTGAAAGAAAGGGAGAAACAGATTTCATCCCTGGTTCACTCTCAAATGGCACACAGCCAGGACTGGGTCAGGACAAAATGCCATCTAGGTCTCCCTCGGCGGGGAGGGGGGCGTGGGGGGCGGTGCTAAGCAGCTGACGTCATCTTTTCCTGCATTCCTAGGCACAACATCAAGGAGACATATTGGAAATGGAGCAGCCCAGTCAAACCAGTGCTCCCACTGTAACCACTGGCAGGCTCATACTGTAACCAGTGCCCTAACCCACTATACCACAACACTAACCCCTCACCCTTGGATATCTTGCTGATAAACTTTGTACTTTACTAGCCACCTCTTTTTAAAATGAAAACTGAAGAGATACATTTCAAAGAATGTTTAAATTACCTGTTCGGAGGCAACCTTGCCTTCACCGGTACATGTAGCTTCTTGCTCGGTTGAGACACCTCCTTCTTGCTCTGCCAAGTCGTTTCCAGAAATAACAGGTTACACACACACATACAAAGACATAAATTAGATATAAAAAGCCTAACTCACTAAAGCTCTTTTTTTCCCTTATGATTTAGTTATCTCAAAGGCAGAGTGAGAAAAAGGGAGAAAGATAGTGAGAGAGACCTTCCATGTTCTCTCCAGTCCACTCTCCAAATAGCTGCAATGGCTGGAGCTGGGCCAGGCTAAAGCCAGGTACCTGGAGCTTACCCAAGTATGCAATGTGAGTGGTAGAAGCCCAAAAGTACTTGGACCAGGGCCCAGTATGATGGCCTAGTGACTAAATCCTTGCCTTCCATGTGCAGAGATCCCATGTGGGCATGGGACTGTGTTGTGGGAAAGCAGACAAAGCCGGCCCAGGGCCTTGGCACTCTGCACCCATATAGGAGACTCAGGGCAAGTTCCCGGTTCCTGGCTTTGGATCAGCTCAGCCATTATGGCTACTGGGGCAATAAACCAGGGGATGGAAAATATTTATCTGTGTATATCCTTCTCTGTTTACCTTCCTTTCCAATAAAAAGACATTCTGTTTTTAATACATGTCAATTTTATAACTGATATAATTTCAGATTCTAATTTGTACATTTAACTTTCAAGAATTTAAAAATTATTCATTTATCAACTTACAGAAAAAATTCATGGAATAAGGATACTTTTTTTTTTTAAAGATTTATTTATTTTTATTACAAAGGCAGATATACAGAGAGGAGGAGAGACAGAGAGGAAGATCTTCCGTCCAATGATTCACTCCCCAAGTGAGTGCAACGGCCGATGCTATGCCAATCTGAAGCCAGGATCCAGGAACTTCTTCCGGGTATCCCACACGGGTGCAGGGTCCCAAAGCTTTGGGCCGTCCTCAACTGCTTTCCCAGGCCACAAGCAGGGAGCTGGATGGGAAGTGGAGCTGCTAGGATTAGAACCGGCGCCCATATGGGATCCTGGTGCGTTCAAGGTGAGGACTTTAGCTTCTAGGCCATGCTGCCGGGCCCGGAATAAGGATACTTTTAAGGTGAATCATCCTTTTCCATGTATCTTACATGATATTGGGCGAGATCTTTATTAAAAATAAATCTCTTAAAAAAAGTCCTTGGACCATCTTCTTTTTAAAAGATGTATTTATTTTTATTGGAAAGGCAGATATACAGATAGGAAGAGAGACAGAAAAGAAGATCTCTGTTCAATGGTTCACTTCCCAAGCAGCCATAATGGCCAGAGCTGAGCCAATCCAAAGCTAGAAGCCAGGAGCTTCTTCCGGGTCTCCCACATGGATGCAGGATCCCAAGGCTTTGGGCCATCCTTCATTGCTTCCCCAGGCCACAAGCAGGGAGCAGGATGGGAAGTGGGGTCACTGGGATACGAATTGGCGCCCATGTGGGATCCTGGCATGTGCAAAGTAAAGACTTTAGCAGCTAGGTTACCACACTGAGCCCTCCTAGGCACATTATCATGGAGCTAGATGGAAGTAGACCAGCTGGCACTTGAACTGGGGCTCTTATGTAACACTGGCTTCAGAGGCTGAGCTGTAATTCTCCCTGGAACATCAGTGGTCCTGCTAAAGCCATTGCTAATTGACAGTGTTTCTATAAAAATTACAACACTTTCCCCACATATGATTGGTGAATTTAATTCATTAATTTATTTAATTTTTTAATTTGTCAGACCCAGCACGGTAGCCTAGCGGCTAAAGTCCTCACCTTGAACACACCGGAATCCCATATGGGCGCCAGTTCTAATCCCGGTGGCCCTGTTCCCATCTAGTTCCCTGCTTGTGGCCTGAGAGAGCAACCGAGGATGGCCCAAAGCCTTGGGAACCTGCACCCATGTGGGAGACCTGAAGGAAGATCCTGGCTCCTGGCTTCGGATCAGCACAGCATCACCTGTTGCAGTCACTTGGGGAGTGAATCATCGGACAGAAGATCTTCCTCTCTGTCTCTCCTTCGCTCTTGTATATCTGACTTTGCAAAAAAATAAAATAAATCTTTTTTAAAATTTTATTTGTAAATTTTTATTTGAAACTCAAATTTACAGAGGAGAGACAGAAAGATTTTCATCCACTGATTCACTCCCCAAGTGGCTGCATCAATCAGAGCTTAGCCGATTCGAAGCCAAGAGACCCTTAATAAATATTTTTTTTAAATTTTGGATATTCTCAAATACATATAAAAGTTAGACAAAACAAAGACAGGCGCTGCAGTGCAGCAAGCTAAGCTACTGCCTGTGACGCTAGCATCCTGTACCCATGTCCCAGCTCCTGCACTTCTAATCTAGCTGCACATATCCGGGAGAGAAGCTGCAGGTAATCTGAGAACTGGGGCCAACGCCATTCGTGGGACAGCAGGATGGTGAGCTGGGCCCCTGGCCTCCAGCTAGCCCAGGCTGGCCGGGGCAGTGCTTGGGAAGTGAAGCAGTCGATGCAGGCCCCTTCTCTCTGTTGCTCCCATTGTCTGTTACTCTGCCTTTCAAACAAAGTTATTAAGTAAATAAATATTTTTTAAAGGTAGGTAGCATGTTAACCCACAAGTACTCATAATGCAATTAAAAATCATTATTTTGCTAATTTTATTGAACCCACATTCCACTGTTTTCTTTTCAATGTATTACTTAAACTCTAAAATGTCATCACACTATACAACTTGTTACAACACTAACTGATAAGGATTTTTAAACTATATTGTATCATTATCATAATTAACAAGACTAATAGTCCTTTAATATCCTTTAATCACCCAGACGTTTAACTTGTCTTTGAAATAAAAAAGAAAAGAAAGGTTTGGGCCCAGTGCAATAGCTCAATTGGCCAAAAAGAAAAAAAAGTTTATTTATTTTTAAAGATTTATGCTTTTATTGGAAAGGAAGATTTACAGAGAGGAGAGGAGAGTCAGGAAGATCTTCCATCCACTGATTCACTCCCCAAATGGCCAAACAGCCAGAGTTGGCCCTATCTGAAGCCTGGAGCCAGGCACTTCTTCTGGGTCTCCAACATGGCTGCAGAGTGCCAAGGCTCTGAGCCATCCTCTACTGCTTCCGCAGGCCAGTAAGCAGGGCGCTGGATGCGAAGTGGAGCCCATATGTTATCTCAGCACTTGCAGGGGAAGGATTAACCAATTGAGCCATCATGTTGGGCCCTGATCTTTTTTTTTTTTTAACATTTTTTTCAGACTAATGAGGTATTTAACAATGTTTAATGGGGATGAGGTTTATGAAAATTGTATCTAATTAGAGGTGATATACTGCAATCCATTTAAGCCCAACATCTTAAAATAACATATGTTAATACTCTTTCTGCTAAATTTAAGCTATCGTAAACTACCAAGAGCACCTTTAAGTGGATTTTGCACCTATTGATAAACCTCTGATTCTTATGGCTTCCTTGTTTTCCAGTATAAGAAAATGTCAGGCTCAACTTGTGTATCTCTGAGTATGTGGAAAGTCATTTCCCAGGGTGCCTTAGTCCTTTTTCCTGGGGAAAAAAAATAACAAGAAACCACAATCTGGGGTACCAGTGGGCTTTTATTTCAAGCAGGACATCTACTTTAGGATTCCCTGCCCACTCACCATTTGCTAAATAATGTCCCACCTTCACAACATACAGTATTACTAGGATGTTAGACAGGGTGCTGAATTTATAAAACTTTTTAAAACAACTTATTGGCTGTATAAAGGAATAAAAGTTCACAAAATGCCATTATAAAATAACTAACTCACTGGGTCACAAATGATATTACACTGTGGGACAACTATAGGCTGCGTAGTTGTCAGCATGGTAAATGAAATACTCACCTTCTAAAACGACATCTCCAGGTTGCTCTGGCTGGGCAACCACTTCTTCATTCTCTGCAGAGCTATCACTGTCAGAAGCAGAACCACTTGACAGAACCAAATTTTCAGGCACAGGATTCCTAGTGCCTGAATTATCAGTGGTATCTGACATGGGAGGCTGGGTCCTGCTCACCTGGAAATAAGCATCCAGTGGTGTTCTCAATCTATGGAAGCAGAGAAGACAACAGAATTATAGTACCATGAACCATAACCAACAGAATAACCCAGAGTAACCTGAAGTAAATCCCAGTCATTTAAATCTGTCTCCAAGCCGGATTTTAAAAGATGGCAGCTGACCTTGATATTATCATTTCCACTAACTCTGCTACTTTATCCCACACTGGAGCTTAACCTTTCCACTAAAAACCAATTATACTCATCTTTTGCCATGTGACAATATCTTTTTTTCTTTTAAAGATCTATTTATTTGTATTTGAAAGGCAGAATTACAGAGAAGGAGAGAGAGAGAGAAATCTTCCCTCTACTAGTTCACTCCACAAATTATCACAACAGCCAGAGCTGGGCTGACCTGAAGCCAGGAACCAGAAGCTTCTTCCAGATCTCCCATATGAGTGCAGGCAGCCAAGGTCTTGGGCTATCTTCTACTGCTCTCCCAGATTATAAACAGGGAGCTGGATTGAAAGTGGAGCAGCCACGGGCCCGGCGCGGTGGCACAAGTGGTTAAAGGTCCTCGCCTTGCATGCCCGGGATCCCATATGGGCGCCGGTTCTAATCCCGGCAGCCCCGCTTCCCTTCCAGCTCCCTGCCTGTGGCCTGGGAGGGCGGTCGAGGACGGCCCAAAGCTTTGGGACCCTGCACCCGCGTGGGAGACCCGGAAGAGGCTCCTGGCTTCGGACTGGCATAGTATCGGCCCGTTGCGCACACTTGGGAAGTGAATCATCGGACGGAGGATCTTCCTCTCTGTCTCTCCTCTCTGTATATCCTCCTTTCCAATGAAAAAATAATAAAAATAAATCTAAAAAAAAAAAAAAAAAAAAAGTGGAGCAGCCACGACTGGAACAAGTGCCCCATAAGGGGTGTCAGTGTTGCAATTGGAAATTAACCTGCTATGTTAAAGCTCTGGCACCAAGTGTCAATAACTTCAAAGGATTAGACAGAGGAATTTGTTTGCTGGTATTACCAGCTAAAAAGCAAATGTGGGCAAAAACATTTTGTTCAAAAATGGTCTCGTATGAATTCTCCCATGCCAGTTTGCCAGCCAGGGGGCAGCAAGGGTTCTGTGGGGGGAAGGGGATGCAGGCTTGAGTCGGGGGGAGAGCTAAGGGCATAGCACTAGTGGGCATGTGGGGACCTAGGAGCTCACCTCTAGGAAAATGGAGAAAACCTGGGGATTTCCCCACATGCTTGGTCCTGGGTGAGCTGAGGGGAGGGGAGAGCCCCAGGTCAGCATGCTGCTCTGGTGTGCTGGTGAACCAGTCCTGGAGAACTTCAATGGACCCAAATCAGGGGTGTGTGGAGGGCTAAGGCACAAAGACAGCACAAGTGCTAGGAGCTTGGGACTCTGGTAGGCGGACAGAGCTTAGGATAAGCACACCACCCACTGGGCTTCCAAAGGCTGGGCTGGAGAACCCCGGACTCCTGGGCACATGGATTGTAGATCAGGGAAAGCAGCAAGGGGATATGGAGTAGAGAAGACTGCTGTGGGATTATCTTGCAAGTGAAGAACGGCTCCTGAAAGACTCCAAACGACAAAAACACTGTACTTGCAGGTAAGCGAGGGGACTGAGACTTGGTGGTTTGGAGAGGAGAGATCGAAAGACCTTTATGGGACAGCCCGCATGGGAGATGGAGCAGGACTAGTTAGCATGAAGCATTGCCTGACCACGGCACACCAGCCCAGACAAAAGTTAAGGGTGGAGGCCTAGCAGGGCTAGATTCCAGTACCTTAGAATGTCAGAACAGGAGATGGGTCACATTAGGCTAGACCATGACACGAACCAGGTCTAGGGGTAGATTTTGTGTGGGATACATGTGCCCTACCCTGTGGAATTTCAAGTCCTGCTGGTTAGCTTAAGAGTTGGGGTGGTGATGGGCTGAGCTAGGTGCGACTATGGAACCCACTGACACTAATGAGTACTGGGGCTAGGAACAAGCTGGGTAGATCCAGGCTGCAGCATCCACATGCGCACCCTAAAACAGGAGATGGGGCGATCACAACATTCACCAGCTCATACAAAGGCCAGGAAGGGGCAGGCTATGCTGGGCAAGGGCATAGCACTGGTTGGCATGCGTGAGATCTGGATCTGGGAGTTGGCCAAGTAGGGGAACTTGGGAAACATTCCTGGTGGGTCATAGCTTCTGCTGGTGAGCATGTGGTCCAGGCCTGGTTGGCTGGCAAGCTTGGGTAAGGTAGCTTCATCTGTTGGCAAGTGTGTGGATTGGTTTTGGAAGGGGGTGGACTGGGCAGGGCCAAGCAAATCTTAGCCCACTGGCAAGTGCAGAAACCAGAATGGAGTGCAGGTCATGCCGGACTAGGCTATCACACCTACTGATAAGCATGAGCCAGGAATGGGAGCAGACTGAACAGGGCCAGGTTGCAGCACCCGCCAGCAAAAGTTAGGATTGGGGGCTGGCTAGGTCAGGCCAGGCTGCAGCAACCAAAGGCAAAGGCCAACACAGATGAGCAACTATGCCAAACTAGGTCAGAGCAACCACTGGCATGTGCAAGATCCCCATCCAGGCCTGGCTGGAGAGCTAAGGGAACGCCCTGGCTGGATTGTGGTTCCCACTACCAAGTGCAAGAGCCAGAATTGGGGCAGCAGTCATCTGGAAAAGTCTGCAGTATCCCTTGGCACGGGTGTGGACTGGATCTGGGATGTACCAGGCTGGGCTAGACTCCAGCACTGGTAATTATGAGAACCAGGGTAGGTGTAGGACGGGCTGGACTAGGTCTCTGCTCCTGCTCAGCTGCATGAGCTGTATCTCGGTGTGGACCAGGCTTGGCTAGGCTGTAGCACCCAATAGTAAGAACCAAAATGGGTGAAGGCCGGTCAGGAAAGGCCATTATTCCTGCTAGGACAGGAGATGGATCGAGTAGCACTGGCCCATGGATCCACCAGTGTGCACAAGATCTGGCATTGGGAGAGGTTCTGATAGAGGAGCTTCAGAAACTCCTCTCTCCAAACTACAGGCAGACACAAGAACCAAGACCGGGAACAGCCCAGACCAGAGGCAAACACTGAACCCCAATACACTATGGGCTTCTTAATCACTAGGCTAGTGCCTTAATAGTTTTTTCTCACCTTTACAATTAACACTTCAATTATGACAATTCATTTTCTTGTTAATATCTGTGGTTTTCAGTAGTATTTTAAAACTTCGCTCTTATTACAGCTTCATTTCTTTCCTCTCTCCCCTCTCCTCGTTCCTCTACTCCCTTCCTTCCTTCAAGATATATTTTACTTGAAAGTCGAAATTACAGAGATACACAGAGACAGAGACAGAGACAGAGGGGCCGGTGCGGTGGCCTACCAGCTGAAGTTCTTGCCTTGAATGTGCCAGGTTCCATGTGGATGCCAGTTCTAGTCCCAGCAGCCCGGCTTCCCATCCAGCTCCCTGCTTGTGGCCTGGGAAAGCAGTCGAGGATGGCCCAAAACTTTGGGACCCTGCACCTGTGTGGGAGACCCAGAGGAGGCTCCTGGCTTTGGATTGGCGCAGTTCCAGCTGTTGCAGACACTTGGTGGGGTGAATCATCGGACGGAAGATTTTCCTTTCCCCCCGCCCCCCGCCTCTCCTCCTCTGTATATCTGACTTTGCAATTAAAAAAAAAACAAAACACAGATCTTCTATCTGCTCATTCACTTTTTTTTTCTCATTCACTTTCTAAACGGTCACTATGACTCTTCCTTTCAAATAAAACTAAAATAAATCTTTAAAAAAAAAAAACACCAACCACACATCTCGAGAAAGGGGGCATTCTGATTGATGGGTATGACAGAACTAGTCATGGGCTCTGACTTGCACTTCACCAGTTCTACTCAGCTGCCTGGAGAGCCCACATCACTCTTCCGCTGAAGGACTGTGTACGTGGGTGGGATTTGTTCAATCATTAAACAGGTGACAATTCTGTCTTAACTCTCTCCACACTGCTTTTGATGAATTTCCAGGTCAGTCAAGCTGAGAGAGGGGTATTGCCTTATGTCTTTCCCAAAAGATGGCATAACTGTACACACCATGGCCAGATGCACTTGTGGTCTTCCAAATTCCCATTAACATGTCAAAGGCTTTTCAAAACTGCTGAAAAGGAGTAGGTTTATGACCCAGTGGTTAAAATGCCAACTTCCCCAAACTGAAGAACTTGAGTCTAATGTCTGCTCTGGATTCCAGCTTCCTGCTGGTGCAGACCCTGGGAGGACCTGCCACACACATGAAGACCAGGGTGGATTTCCCTCTGGCTCAGCTCCGGCCGTTATAGGACATGTGAGGAATGAGCCAATAAACAGACCCTCTGCCTCCCAAAGTTAAAAACAAAATAACAGAAAATGCCAACATCTCATTCTTCCCTTTTTTCTTCCCACATATCTTGTTATTCTACTATCTGTCTTGATAATTACCCAAGCAGGCCCTGCAGAAATGATTTCAGGCCTTCTGTGCTAGGCAACCTTTGAGTCAAGGACAACCTTATCATGGAGGCTTTCATAAAACCACCACACAGGTCACCCAGAAGGCATTCTCTGGGAAAGAGGCTTTGAAGGAGCGTCAATCCAACTGCTGTTCTCTATGCTTCCTGCTTAGCTGGGGCGAGAGATGCAACAGGATGTGCAACAAAATTCGTAAGAATTCAGCTACTTTTGTAAATAAGTCCTTGGATTATTATAAGCATTTGCTTAATTTCTAGTGTTCTGAAAATTTGACTTTAACCAATTTTGCCAATTGTTTCATTTTTTTTTTTAAGATAGACTTATTGGGAAGTCAGATATACACAGAGGAGGAGAGACAGAAAGGAAGATCTTCCATCCGATGATTCACTTCCCAAGTCACCGTAACAGCTGGTGCCATGCCAATCCGGAGATAGGATACAGGAACCTCTCCTGGGTCTCCCACAAGAGTGCAGGGTCCCAAGGCTTTGGGCCGTCCTTGACGGCTTTCCCAGGCTACAAGCAGGGAGCTAGATGGGAAGTGGGCCTTGCTGGGATTAGAACCAGCACCCATATAGATTCCTGGCGCATTCAAAGTGAGGACCCCAGCCACTAGGCCAACAAGCTGCGCCATGCCGGCCCCACTATGATCACTTTTAAAATTTACTTGAAAGGGGTTAGCACAGTGGCATAGTAAGCTAACTCTCTGCCTGTGTTGTCAGTAACCCATATAGGTAGGGGTTCATGTCCTGGCTGCTCCATTTTCCAGCCAGTTTCTGTCCTGGGAAAGCAGTGGAGAATGGCTCAAGTCCTTGCGCCTCTGCACCCATGTGGGAGACCCAGAGAAAGCTCCTGGCACCTGGCTTTGGATTGACTCAGCTACAACAGTTGCAACTATTTGAGGCGTGAACCAGTAGGTGGAAGATCTCTCTTTTTTTCTCTATATAAATCTGCCTTTAAAACTAAGGAAATTTTTCAGAACACTGTGCCACAATACCTGATTTTATTTAACTTATAAAAGATTTATTTACGGCCTGGCATAACGGCCTAGCAGCTAAGGTCCTCTGCCTTGCAGATGCTGGGATTCCATTAGGGCGCTGGTTCGCATCCCAGCAGCTCTGCTTCCAATCCAGCTCCCTGCCTATGATCTAGGAAAACAGTCAAGGACAGCCCAAGGCCTGGGGACCCTGCACAGAAGACCCAGAAGCAGCTCCAGCCTCCTGGTTTCGGATTGGCTCAGCTCCAGCCATTGTGGCCACTTGGGGACTGAAATCACTGGATGGAAGATCTTCCTCTTTGTCTCTCCTCCTCTCTGCATATCTGACTTTCCAATAAAAATAACTAAAGAAAGAAATCTTTAAGTCCAACCTCTGTCCATCCCCCAAGTTCCTGGAGAATGCACATTCTGGCAGTCACACGAAGGAAGAGAGGAGGAGAGGAGAGGGGCAGAGGAGGAGAGGGGGAGAGAGGAGAGGAGGAGAGAGGAAAGAAAGGAGAGGAAGAGAAGGGGAGATGGAGAGAGAGGGAGAAGGCAGGGGCTCAAAGATTTGAGTCATCCTTACTGCTTTTCCAGGCCACAAGCAAGGAGCTGGGCTGTAAGTGGAGCAGCCAGGATGAGAAGTGGCAACCATACAGGATAATGGGCCTACTAGAGAGAGAGAGTTAGCCTATGGAGTCATCACACCGATTCCATCAAATTAATAAATGTTTAAAACAAAAACCATGGGGGCCCGGCACCATGGCTAAGCAGCTAAAGTCCTTGCCTTGAACGTGCCAGGATCCCATATGGGTGCCAGTTCTAATCCTGGCAGCTCCACACTTCCCATCCAGTTCCCTGCTTGTGGCCTGGGAAAAAATCACATTGCCAGTCTGCAGCAGCACAGCACCAACTACAGGACTTACGTAGAAATCTTACCTGGCATTATCGGTCCTTTGCGACCCTCCAATTCTGGCTCTGCGTGAAGCAGCACCCCTTCTCCTTACTCGCACCGGCCCCACACTGTGCTCTGCAGTGGGTCTCAGGAATTCCAGCATGCCGTGAAGTCTCTGTAGCCCACTGATGAAGTTGCTCACGGAACCCAATGAAGCCTCCTGGAAATTGTGGTTAGCTGCAGGGATCTGCCCGTGCTGCTCAGGAGCTCCAGGATCCATGGTCTCCACAGGAACCTCCCCGGCAAGGCCCACTTCCTCTGGCTGGCTGACAGAGCCCTGGGGAGCAGGTGGAGGCAGGGGCACTATGAAGTGTCTGTGGCCTACATCTGTGGGAGGTGGCTGGAGCAAGGGGGGCATCCCTTGGCTGTCGGCCCCTTCGGCAGAGGTAGGCTGAAGCAGGGCTGCTTGCTCTTGCCTGTTCACAACTTCAACACGATTAGGCTGGATCACAAGTGATCCCTCTTGGCTGCTGACAACTTCAACATGAGGCGGAAGGATGAGAAACTGTCCTGGCCTGGTGACGAACACATCAGGAACAAGCTGTTCTGAGGCAGGATGTTCCACCTGCACTTGAATGTTATATTCCATTGCTTCTTGAGCCATCACTACAGAAACAATATTTATAAAAAGTTTAATTAGTGAAACAGACAAAACATCTTATGCAGCTAATATATCTCACCTTCCAGAATTTTATTTAATGTTATTATCAGCAAAAATGACGGCCTTAAGAATTTTTTAGGATTTATTTTTATTAGAAATCAGATATGCAGAGACAATGAGAGACAGAGAGGAAGATCCATCCACTGATTCACTCCCCAAATGGCCACAATGGGCAGAGCTTAGCCGATTCGAAACCAGGAGCCAGGAGCTTCTTCCAGGTCTCCCACATGGGCGCAGAGTCCCAAGACTTTGGGCCACTCTTGACTGCTTTCCTAGGTCGCAGGCAGGGAGCCGGATGGGAAGCGGGGCCCCTGCGATTAGAACCGGCACCCATGTGGGATCCTGACAGGCGCAAGGTGAGGACTTTAGCCGCTAGGCTACAGTGCCAGGTTCCAGCCTTAAAGATTTTGGTTATTTTTAATTTATTAACTTGAGAAACAGCAACAGAATAAGAGTTCTTGGTCCTGGTGCGGTGGCCCAGAGGCTAAAACCGTAACCTTGAACGTGCTGGGATCCAATGTGGGTACCATTTCTACTCCCGGCAGCCCCGCTTCCCATCCAGCTCCCTGCTTGTGGCCTAGGAAAGCAGTCAAGGGTGGTCCAAAGCCTTGGGACCCTGCACTCACGTGGGAGGAAGTTCCTGGCTCCTGGCTCCAGACTGGCACAGCACCAGCCGTTGCGCTCACTTGGGGAGTGAATCATTGGACGGAAGATCTTCCTCTCTATCTCTCTTCCTCTCTGTATATCCGACTTTGCAATAACAATAAATAAATCTTTAAAAAAATGATTTATTGTTTACTTAAAAGTCAGAGTTAGAGAGTAAGTGAAAGAGAAAGGTTGTTGATTTTCCATCTGCTGCAACAGCCAGAGCTGGGCTGATCCTAAGCCAGGGGCCAGCAGGCTCTTCCATGTCTCCCACATGCATGCAGGAACCCAAGGACTTAAGCCATCTTCCACTGCTTTTCCAGGTGCATTAGGAAGGAGCTGGAATGAAGTGGAGCAACCATGACTTGAAATGCTGCCCATACAGAATGCTGGTACTGCAAGCGACAGCTTTACCTATTATGCCACAGTGCCAGACGCCCAACTCAAACAAGTCTTAACTGATGGCAGGCCAAAAGCCTACCACTAGATGCTCATTTTAACTTGAAGTGTTTTGGTCATCATCTACTTTCATTCTTCTACAAAAGAAACTTATAATCAGTACTATTAATAATAAAAAAAATCCTGTGACCACAGCAGTACCCTCCAAATTATTATATCTATATTATATATAGGAGGATTGAACTATTGAGTATTGAGTCTGAAAGTAATCTTCCAGATACACCATAGTTTGGTCTTGACTTAAAATATGGACATTTAGCAAAAACAACTGTACCTGATGACATAACTAATTTTAGAAGGCAATATTCATCATGGCTTCAAAAATTATACAAACATAAAGCACATTCTTGCATTTGCAAAATCAATTTAATTACTAACAATAGGAATTTACTACCTTCCAAAAATTTTCTCAATTTGTTGGTTGCTGTTTCCCACCTTTAACGTCATTAGGTTAGCTCTTTTAACAAATATTTATTAAGAACCTGTTATACCATCAGGCACACAGAAGAACAGGTAAGAACTAAGACGACAAAATAAGATTATGATATGTGGTTTTGGGAGTAGTGTCAACAAGGCACAGCTCCTAAGAAACAGCTGTCCAGCGCTGCCTGTTGGAGCCATTTGAGGAAAGGACAAGCAAATGGAAAATCTCTCTGTAAGGCTTTCAAACAAACCTACCAAGTTCAGCGTATTACTCAAGAAAGGAATGACACTCAACCGAGCTACAGTAATATGAAAGTGTTCAGTGGACTTCCGGGGCGCAGGGGCGGCCTTCCCAAAGCAGCACTTCCAACGCAAGCCCCAAGCTATCGCAGAGATACACTCAGTTACCCTTCCGGACCTGCGGGGAGATGCCCACGGGCAGGATCTAGGAAGCAACTCCCACTGCCACTCCACTCGATAACACAAACAATGAGGCTTCTCAGTCGCACTGGCACATCTCCAGGGCTCCAAAGCAACATGCGGATGGTTGGGGAAGGTTCTCTGCTGCAGCGCCATGCAGGGGCGGGGTGTCTGGGGCCAGAGACCACCACCCAGCACCCTCACCACATCCTGTCACCTTCTCTACTTGCGCCCTTCAAAGTGTCACGACTTAAGGGACAGGTGCGGTGGGAGGGCGACACAGGGTGCAGAGAAGACTAGGGGCACCCACAACCCCAATCGGAGAGCCCGGATTCTAGTCCCACCTTTCTGCTCAGGAGCACCCTAAAAAGCTAGCCAAAAACGGCTCAAGGGTCCACGGCTTCCAGCACCGGCCTTGTCCCAGCCCTGGCTTGTGGGCGGGCATTTGAGGGCAAAGAACCGGCAGACACTAGGCAAGTCTGCGCATTCTGTCTTGCAAAGAAACAAACTTTTAAAAACCCACCATGCCAGCTTCCCCGCTAAGCATCCTTCCTAAACTTTCCAACTCAGGCATCAACACCCACAACCTGTCGTGTGGGCACGAGGCGGCAGCAAGGAAGGGGTGAGGATGGGGGTGACCTCGGCTGCAGTAGAGGGCCTGTGGCGGGTTTCCCGATGGCTCGCTCAACTTCTTCACCCCATAAAACGGGGGAAGACAATTTCAGGTCAAGGAAAAAAAAAATCTTTTTTTCGGCCAGGCTTTCGTGCGGTGGGGGGAGGGGCAGGGCCCTCCGAAGCCCCGTCCAGGCGCGGGCCTGGCCAGCTCCGCCCGTCCCGTCCCGTCCCACCACCGCCGGGAACCGCCGCCTTCCCCGGGTCCCACCCGCACGAGCCCGGCAAGAACTTGGGGTTCGCAGCCCCGCGGCCCCGACAGGAGAGGCCCCTCCAGAAGGCCCGATGAGCGGTCCGAGACCAAACCCGAGAAGTTATCACAGACCAAAGCCAGAGAAGGAAGCAGTCCCACCTCACCTAAGGCTGAAGGACGCCGCGGGGGAACGCGGGCTCCGGTCCACCCGAGAGCAGTTCAACTCCGACACCAAACCGAGCTCACAAACCGCCGCTTCCTCAAGCCGCTCCAGCGTCAAGACGCCCGACTGCGCCGAGCCGGTCTGCTCCTATTGGATGATAGACCCAGCCGGACAGCCAATAGCGTCCCTTCTTCTTCCCTGGGTGGCCCGAGACTGAAACAGTGGCGCTCTGATTGGCTAGAAACTAGGCGGGACCACATTGGAGGAACCCTCAAACTATTGGCAACGACGCCTGTCCGTCACCTCGCGCTCAGTCCGGTGAGAAGAACGCGGTTAATTTCTGTCGCGCTCTATTTTGAACTTTTCTGGAGAGCTCGTGGTATGGGGTGGCGGGAGACGGGGAACAGGACTTCATTTTGGAATGAGGATGAAAATATTCAAGCTGGAGTACTTGCTGCCTCTGTTTTACTCTTTAAATAAAGAACTTTGTCTAGAAAATCATCTGTGTTCGTAGGAGTTAAGTTCCAAAACATTGTTCCCAGAATTCTCCGGAATTCTCCAGGGCGTGGAGCACTGTGAGACATTCTCCTTCCTGTTTATGGAGTGTTGTGATAGTTGTCGTAGTTTGAAACTCCACAGCAGATGTTTTTCCAGATCCAGCTCAAAGGCTGAAATAAATTAAAATCTCATTTTCGCACCTAACACTGACAAACCTCAGGTCGACTGCGTATTGCCAGCATTTTATTAATTCAGCTGCCAGCTGTGGAGAGAGTGGATAGAGAACATAAATACTGGAAGGTCACAGAGAACTGAAACCTCCAAGCCTGTCGCTGAAGCCGAAGCCAAATCCTTCCAGGAGCCGGGGGCCCGTATGGCGCCGGTGTGGTCCCCTGATTGTGACCTGAGAAAGTAGTAGAGAATGTCCCGAAGCCCTGAGACCCTGCACCCACGCGGGAGACCCGGAGGAAACTCCTGCCTCCTGACTTTGGCCCTTGTGACCATTTGGGGAGTTAATCAGAAGATGGAGGATCGTTCTGCATATCCAGTGAAAATTGATAAATCTTAAAAATAAAAACAAATAAATAGGTACTTTTCCTTTTTCTCAAAAGAGAAGCTACAGAATCATAGGATGGCTAATATGAAAAGTCAGAAATTTTTTTTTTTCATTGGAAAGGCGGATATACAGAGAGGAGAGACAGAGAGGAAGATCTTCCGTCCGATGATTCACTCCCCAAGTGAGCGCAACAGCCGATGCTATGCCGATCTGAAGCCAGGAGCCTCTTCCGGGTCTCCCACGCGGGTGCAGGTTCCCAAAGCTTTGGGCCGTCCTCGACTGCTTTCCCAGGCCACAGGTAGGGAGCTGGAAGGGAAGCGGGGCTGCCGGGATTAGAACCGGCGCCCATATGGGATCCCGGGCGTGCAAGGCGAGGACCTTTAACCACTTGGCCACCGTGCGGGGCCCAGAAATTTTTTTAACAAATGAATATGAAGCAGAACAAGAAAGGTTCAGAGTGACTCCTTTTTGACATAAAAATTGTACATGTTTATGGGGTACAACATGATGTTTTGATACATGTATGCACTGTGTAATAAGATTAGCATTGTTGTTTTACAAGTACTGTATGTTCAACAAAGAAAAATTACACACAAGTAGCAAGGAAAGAAAATGGTCTCTCATCAAACATGACCTTTCTGTAAAATCTTCATTGATTTAAATATAGTGAAATGATGTTTAAACTCAAAACCTCTCTCCAATTGCTTTCCATATAAATGAATATATAGGTGACCCATCAAATACTTGGTAACTCTTTCATTAAAAAAAGTTTGATTAAAAATAGGTAAATACATATATACATGCGAAAACAATAGAACACAAGGATTGCACAGTGAAAAACGAACAAAATCTGTCTAAATGGTTATGAACATATATTCATTCATGATCTTCTTTTTATTATTATTATTACAAAGTCAGATACACAGAGAGGAGGAGAGACAGAGAGGAAGAACTTCCGTCCGATGATTCACTCCCCAAGTGAGCGCAACAGCCGATGCTATGCTGGTCTGAAGCCAGGAGCCAGGAACATCCTCCAGGTCTCCCACACGGTGCAGGGTCCCAAAGCATTGCGCTGTCCTCAACTGCTTTCCCAGGCCACAAGCAGGGAACTGGATGGGAAGTGGAGCTGCCGGGATTAGAACTAGTGCCCATATGAGATCCGGGCGCGTTCAGGGCAAGGACTTTAGCTGCTAAGCCATGCTGCCAGGCCCCATTTATGATATTCTTAATGGCTCCCACACCGGAAATAAAAAATTTTTCTTTAATCCTCATAATTCTGGACTTGGAATAGGTCCTATAACGACACACAGGTTCAACAAGTTGAATGTGTAGAATACACATCATGAGGGAGAAAGCTCAGCGAAAAATAACTCGTGGCCATGATGCCAAGCTGGGTTTGTGCTGCATCTTCCACCAGGAATGATACGTCTGTGGAAAAGTGATAGATGGAGGAAAGCAGTGTGGACCTTCCAAGAAGGTAAAGGCACAGAGGAAGGACGGAGCGAGGAGCATGTGGATCAGGTGTAATAGCACAAGGTTTCTTCGCAGATGATGACTTGGATGCCATCTCTGGGTTCCTAAGAGTCATCTCCAATAAAGAGAAATTTACATCCTGTCTTTAAGCAGAAACGGGGGGCGGGGGCTCGCTGGACGAAGATCGTTCTGTTTGCTATTTGCCTTCAGCTCAAAAATAATTTTTTGTGTCAGAAAGGCAAATAGGAACCTGCACTATAGCATAGCAAATCAAGCCGCTGTCTGAAATGCAGGCACCAGTTCAAGTCCCAGCTGCTCCATTTCCGGTTCTCTGCCTAGAAGAGCAATGGAAGATGACCCAACTGTCTGGGTCCTTGCCACCTACATGGGAGACCCAGATGAAGCTTCTGACTCTTGGCTTTGACGTGGTCCAAACTGGTCATTGTGGTGGCCTTGGGAAGGAATCAGCTGATAGAATATCTTTCTGCATCTCTCCCTGTGGATCTAAAACTCTGACTTTCAAATTAAACAAATAAATCTGTTTTGAAAAAGATGACAAATAAATGTGATGCTTGTTGTGGATCATGCTGGGACATCAATTTTGCTCTACAATTAGAAGGACCATCATTTATTTGTCCCTTCCTTCATTCAACACGTATTTATTCAATGACTACTGAGATCTATATCTGGTTTATAAGATTGGAATGTTGGTGTGTAAGAGAAATTCACAGACTCAAAGGAACTTATATTCTACTAAGGGGAAGTAGACAATAAACCAATAAGCATGACTAAGCAAGGTAACTTTGAAGAGTGAGTGTAATAAATAGTTAAAAAGAAGGATATGAATAGAAAATGCTTCAAAAAAAAAAAAAAACAACAACAACTCTGAGATACTAATGTTGGATCCAAGACCTAGAGACCTCAAGGAAATGTCTGAGAAATGGTGTGAATAAGGTACAACAATTCTAGAAAACTACAAAGTGTTCCATGGGCCAGGTGCAGTAGCCTAGTGGCTAAAGTCATTGCCTTGCCTGCACTGGGATCCATAAGGGCACTGGTTCTAATCCCAGCAGCCCTGCTTCCCATCCAGCTCCCTGCTTGTGGCCCAGGACCTTGGGACCCTGCACCTGCGTGGGAGACCTGGACGAAGTTCTGGATCCTAGCTTCAAATCGACGTAGCTCCAGCCGTTGCGCTCACTTGGGGAGTGAATCATTGGACGGAAGATCTTCCTCTCTGTATCTTCTCTCTGTATATCAGCCTTTCCAGTAAGAATAAATAAAAAAATCTTTCATTAAAAAAAAAAAACTACAAAGTGTTCCACTTCGAGGAGAAAGATGGCTACTAAATAAAACAATAGGGATGCAGAGTCCTTATGCATTAGCACTTTAGAAAGTTCTGGAAATTGATATGTGGACACGTTACTATTAACACATTCTGGGAATTTATTCAAGTCATTGCTCTGTAAAGGCTTCTCTCCTAAAACAGTATAAGGCTTTCAGGAAATACAGAGTGGGAATGGATGTGAAACCTTACACAATTTACATGAATTTCAAAGTCGGAGCCGGTATTATTCCACCATCTACAGTGCCAGTCCCATATGGAAGCTGGTTCGAGCCCTGGCTACTCTACTTCCAATCTACTTCCCTGATAATATTCTTGAGAAAGCAGTAGAGGAGGCCCAAGTCCTTAGGACCCTACATGGAAGTGGGAGACCTGGATGAAGCTCCTAACACTTGACTTTGGTCTGGCCTAGCCCTGGCCTTTGTGGCCATCTGGGGAGTGAACCGGCAGATGGGTGATTTCTTTTTGCATCTCTTTCTGTGTAATTCTTTCCAGTAGATAAATCTTTAAAAATATATATATATACACAATTAAGAGCTTTCTACATCTAATAACAATCAAATATTTCTTACTAGGCAAATATTTTAACTGATAATAGTTGAAAACTCTAGACAACATATATTTAGTTTTAAGATAATTTGGAGACATTGGAGAGGAGCCAAAGGCTGGTAGAAAGTCATAGCTGAGTCCATAATCAGAAGAATTTTTTTTTTTTTTTTGCAACTTTCAGCCTGTGTTAGAACCCTATCAACACAATGCATGGTGGCCAAAACGTGAGTCAAAAGGCCAGGCCAAATTCCCATGGTGGTGTGCATCAGACTGCTGCACTTGATAGGAGGCCCCAGAAAGTCACATGGTCAAGAGCTACGGACGCCAGCTTGTTGTGGAACACTTAGCACAGTGCGTTGAGGCAGTCTCACTGGGAGTGGGATGTGTGCTGTGTGAACTGCGATGCTCAGTTTCTCTGCACCCGTAAATAACCTGATGAGGAAGGATGTAAAAGAGATGTCCAGTTCACGTGTCTTCCAGTTTCACGTCCAGGGCATCCATGGCTCAGGTTTTAATACATGAGTTAGTGAAGGTAGTCAGTTTCTCTATGATTTCTGCACATGAATAAACAAAAAGTTAGACGAGCATGGGTAGTGTGTCCCCACGCCACTGCCCCCACCTGAAATGTTTTAAGACATCGCCAGATGTTCCCTGAGTGGCAAAAGTCACCCTGGCTGAGAAGCAGTGCTGCGGAGAGGATGAAGAGGCAATATGGCGAATGTGAAGTCAGCGTGAGGCCCGAGCCCCCGACACCAGAAAACACCTACCGTGCATGGAGGGCCGTTCTGCGGGCTCGTAGGCCCGGCACTGCCCAATCACCTCCTGCAGCACCGGGAGGCAGCCTTCTCCCAGCGGCTCCTGCTGCCGCTGCACGACCACCAGCTGGTAGATAGTCTTAGAATCACAGCCTGGCATGGGGACGAGAGAACAGGAGTACATACACTGCTCTCGCTACGCATCAGCATCCCATACTAGTGCCAGTTTCAGTCCCAGCTGCTCTGCTTCCAATCCAACTCCTTACTCATGTGCCTAACAAGGCAGGGAAAGATGGCCCAAGTGAGTGCTTGGGTCCCTGCCACCCACATGGGCGACCCAGATGGACTTCCAAGCTCCTGGCTTTCACTGCAGCCATTTGGGGAGAGAACCAGTGGACATAGTATCCTTTGTCTCTCCCGCTTCCCTGTAGTTCTGCCTTTCAAGTAAACAAACCTTTAGAGAGAGAGAGCCAGGGACTTGGAGTATGGAAGGAAACAAGAGCTTCCAGCAGCACCACCGACCAGCCCGTGGAGTTCCACACCGGCTGGCCAAAGTGCAGGGGACAGACTGGCCACACTGCCCTCACGCTCCTCACCTTCAAACGGGATCCTCCCAGTGGCGATTTCCCACAGGACGATTCCAAAGCTAAAAGAAAATCAAGAAATTGAACCACCACAGGTGGTCGTGGGGCCTTTTCCTGTGCCCTATTGGTGTTTCTAGAAAACACAATCAATTTCCTGGTGGCCACCCACTTCCGTTGAGTAGCGCTGAGTGACAATGCTCCCCCGGGAAGAAGCGTGACTCAGCTTCCCACTCCAGTTCCTCTGAGCTGGAATCTGCACAAGCATAGGAACGTACCTGTATATTTCAGCTTTTATGTCATATTTATGAAAAACGTTGTCCAGGCACTGAGGCGAGATGTATGCTGCAGCATGCACTCTGTCTGTTTTATTCCACTTCATTTCCCGACTGATGGAAGTCTGGGTTTTGCTCAGTTCAAATCCTGCAAGCTAAAGAGGCGGCTTAGGGAGAAACAGCACAGGAAGCCAGGGCGGAGGGCTCCACACAGCTTGTTTCCCAGGGTGCCTTCTATCCGTGTGGCTACTCTACCGGTGGGTGTGATGGGCCCAACTTCTAGTGCATCAGCCAGTAGAAACAGAGATTTCCTCTTTATAAAAACATCCTGAGAGAGGGCCCAGTGCAATGGCTCAGTGGCTAAATCCTTGCCTCACAAGCCCTGGGATCACACATGGGCACCAGTTCGTGTCCAGGTGCTCCATTTCCCTTCCAGCTCCCTGCTTATTGCTTTGGAAAGCAGTCGAAGATGGCCCAAGCCTTGGGACCCTGCGCCCATATGGGGAGACCCCAAGGACCCCTGGCTCCTGGCTTCAGATTAGCTCAGCCCTGCTCATTGTGGCAGCTTGGGGAGTGGGCCAACAAATGGAAGATCTTTCTGTTTCTCCTCTCTGTAGATCTGCATTTCCAATAAAAAAATTAAAACATATATATATATAGGAGAAACATTTTTAAAAAAATAAAATTAAAATAAAAACCCCTGCTTGGGCCACCTGCAGACCATATCAGATCACCTAACCTGACATTCTGCTCTACTCCCAAATCCAGCTTCCTGCTAATGAGTACCTCGGGAGGCAGCAGGGTTTAGTTCAAGTTCCTGGGTTCTTCCCGCCTGTGTGGGAGTCCCAAATGGAGTTCATGGCTCCTAGCTTTGCCTGGTCCAGCTCTAGATATTGCAGGTATTTGGGAGAATAAAGCAACAGGTGGTGGGAGCTTTCTCTTTCCTCCTGCCTCTCAAATAAGTAAAAATTTAAAATAAAAAAAAAAAGTTTTAATGGCTGGTGGCAGCAGCTGTTAATTGAGGTAGTGGTGATGAAGCATCTTAAAGACTCAGTAAGTTGTGGCTTTTGTATATTGCTGTGATAGACACAGGGCCCTCTCAGTTAAAGATGCAAGCCAAGCAGTGAGCAAGAAGGTGGATGCTTGGCACCGCGACTCTGTTTGCCTCACAGAGAAGATAATGAAGAATGACATGGTGGTGTCCCTTGGTTCTCTGTGACCCAATAGGGTGTTCCTGTGAATTTGGCATGGCAAGTGTGAATTATTCCTGTAGACGTGACGGTCGGTCACAAAGTACTCTTGAAAGAAGAGTGTATGTGCTTGCTCCAGGCCATCCACCAGGAGCCAGGAGCCAGGATCTTCTTTCCAGGTCTCCCACATGGGTGCAGGGTCCCAAGGCATTGGGCCGTCCTCAACTGCTTTCCCAGGCCACAAGCAGGGAGCTGGATGGGAAGTGGAGCTGCTGGGATTAGAAGTGGCACCCATATGGGATCCCGGTGCGGTCAAGGCGAGGACCTTAACCATTACACTATCCTGCCGGGCCCTGTATTGAGTTTTTTGGCATCTAGCGCCACCTATAGACCAAGACGAAAACTGACTAGGACCAAAGAGGTGAATGAAGACCCGGAGAGGGTTGCAGCCCCAGGGCCTCGGGAGCACTGTGGTATCATAGGAAGAAGAGACCCGCCTGCTGTTAATGAGTACAGGGAGAGGCATCCCCGATGATCAGAAAGCTGAAGGAAAGTTAACAATGTATGACTGTCCCCTCAAGCATTCTCCTCCTAGCCTTTGGGAATTGTGGCCAGCCAGTTAAAAAAACCCCTTCCTCAGTTAACTTTCTAACTCCGCTCCTTTGGAAACTTTGCAAAGATAGACGAAAAGCTTCTTCCAGATGGCAGCGACTGGAAGGGACTATCCACAGCTTAAATGGATGTTGTGCTTTGTGACTACTCTTGTAACTGGCATCTGGCATGTCGCTTGCAGAGACATGGGCAGGCAGGCCTGCAGGGTCGTGAGGCAAGGTGACTCCTATGAGTCAGGGGACTTCTAAATTTCCAAGATGAGTGCCTCTTTCTCTGCCATATGGGATGGGGACAGAGAGCATCTTCCAGATGATTGCAGATTCCCAAAAGAAAGAAAAGAGGCTGATGTGACCAGCGAGCTGTGCTTTCTGCAAGAAACCCTTCCTTCTAAGAAACTGAGTGCGAAGTGTGGCCCGTGGTAGTCCTGTGAGTCTAGAGCCCTCGCTGGGCTTAAGAAGACGCCCTGATGCATGTTGCATGGACTCAGAAGGGCTGCCCAGGTGTCTAAGGGGAAGTGACCAAGAGCCCCTTGGAAGGTGTACTTACCTTCACTTGGTAGCCTTTGGTTACCAGAAAGCTCGTGCTGCTGATATTTCTGTGGAGTTCAGGCACTTCTTCATCGTGTAGCCTGGCATGATCAAAGGCAGAGAGTGTAAGTGACCTCTGCACGGACTGTCATAGGTCTGGGGGGCTTGATAGCCATTACCAGGATAACAAGGCTAGTTGGTACCATGCCTTCCCCCGGAGTAGCCATCCACGGACAGGTGGGAAAATCGGAAAATAGATAGGTACAGTCTGTTAATTGCAAGTCAGGCAGTTGCCTATAATGCTGGAATCCCATATGAACACTGGTTTGATTCCCAGATGTGCCACTTCCATTCCAGCTCCCTGCTGATACTTCTGGGGAAGCAAGAGAAGATAACCTGAATGCTTGGGTCCCCGCAGGAGACCTCAATGGAGTTCCAGGCTCCTGACTTCAACCTGTCCCAACTTGGGGCCACGATAGTCATTTGGGGTTATGAATCAATAGATGGAAAATTTCTTTTTTTTTCCTATCTCTGTAATGCTTGCCTTTCAGGTAAACAAATAAACATTAAAATATATATGTAGCTATGTAGCTATTCGCTATGAACATGATTATCTGGAGTTTAAACTTAACTGGGTCTGCTGTGTTTCTATTCACCTAACCCAGCAACACTGCAAGGGCAGTGCAAGGGCAGTGCAAGGGCAGCATGGACATGAACCCTAATTCTTCAGTTCTGGGAGCTGGGTACACTTGGTTAGGCCTTCACCTCCCGCTACCACACATGTTTTCATTGGAGCTCACAGTAAATCAACAGATGGCAAGGAGGCCACCGGAGGCCTGCAACCTGTTCTCTCATCCTCTGTGGGGTCCTCGCAAGGTCACAAGGGGGACAGTGTCAGCCAGTTCTTCTGGCCTGCTATCTCCACCTCGGCCACCTACCTGTACAAGCCTTTGGCTGCCTCCAGGGCCAGGACGATGCGCTCGCCGGATGTCAGGTCCTTTTTTTTATCCAACAGCTCCCTTAGGGTGCCGAGCTCACAGTGCTCCATGATGATGGAGAACTGAGGAGGAGTCACTGAGGGGAAGCAACCAGGCAGCCCCAGTCAGAGTTTCCTCTGCCTGCTGTCCACCTCTCCTGTTCACCCAACGGGAATGCTCAGCTCTGCCACGACTTCCCACATCTCTCATCCCGCGGCTGGCTTCCTCACTTCCTCGCGTGGGTACAACAGCCACAGGAAAACATGCAGCACTGAAAGTGTTTCTTTACCCTGACACTCCAAGCTCTGAATTATGGAAAAGCTTCTAGAAGGTCAATACATTTTTATATGTGAACTAAACCAATGATGGCCTCAGATAAATTTCCTACTTGGGTCAGTTTTATCATATTTTACTACAACTCAAAGCACCTAAGAACCTAAACAAGCTCTCCCTAGGTTCCAGAAGGAGATGTGACTGCAGGAGTGTGAACCAATCCCAGAGGTGACATTTTACTGTCCTGAAGGATCGAAATCTGCGTGTTGAGATACAAAGGCAATTAAAGCCGACAATAACGACTGTATGTGGGCTCCGGTCTGGCTGTTCTTCAAAAAATGTGACACAATGAAACCCAGAAAGTATGTTCCAGACTACCAGAAGCCTCCCCGACCCCAGATGTACCTCCTTACCTGTTTCATCAATGCAAATCCCAAAGATCCGCAGGATGTTGGGAGAATCAAACTTCCTCATGGTTCTGATCTCATTATTGAAGGTATGTCTCACTGATCTATAGGGTAAAAGAAAATGTAGGATTAGAGAACTGAAAGGCCCCTTGGAAATACTTGGTGTGTAGATGGGGGTGGGGTCAAGAGGTTCTCCAGCATCTCCCAAGGATGAGAGAACAGGTGCGGTGGAGAAGAGCACGTGGCGCTCCTCCGATGCACTGGGCAGCAGAATTAGCCTTACAGCATCTCTGAAGACAGTATTGGGGCTTGTCAATCCCTTTCAAGCAGTCTGATAGAATGATATGTGTATGGTATATAATCAAGTTTGATTAGGAAAACTGAAATGTCAAGTTGATGCTATCGTTTTGGACTGTAATGCCTTATTTGGCACACATTCACTCAAACACCTATACATACACATACTACTGTATTATGCCTTTTGTATTAAATGTCTAGTACAGGTAAAATCTATAGAGACAGATTGGTGGTTGGTTAGGAGTGGAGATGGTGGGGGGTTGGGGTGAATGTGAAGCACCTGCTAATGTGGGCATCTTTCTTTGGGGGCTAATGACAATACTCTAAAATTAATTACATTATTGAAAGCAAAACACTGTAAATACATTTAAAACCAGAGGGCCACAAGATCCAGGCCTAAGTGAGGTCAAAGACAGATCACCCACGTGGGTGGCAGGGATCCAGGTACTTGGGCCATCTTTTGCTACTTCTCTCAGGCCATCAGCAGGGAGCTGGATGGAAAGTGGAGTATATGGAACTCAAACCCAGTGCCCATACGGGTTAGCAGCATTGCAGGCAGTGACTTTACCTGTGGTGCCACAGAGCCAGCCCCGGGGATTCAACTGTCCTTGGGAATATACAAAGAGCGAGCACCGCCACCGCCAACAAGTTTCCCAGTCGACTCACCTGGGGCTGGCCTGGGGATTTTTGAAGACTTTGATGGTCACCGGGGATCTGTGATACTCTCCTTTGTACAGTGTGCTGAATCCATCCTCCCTCAGCAGGCTCCATGGGGAGGTGCAAAGCTGCACCTTCGGGATTTCCTTGATTGGTTCTGGGGACACTGGCGTTGTCGGTCTCCCGAAGTCTGACCTCAGCCCGGGGAGAGAAGGCGTTAAGTAAAACGGTCAAGGAGCTGAAGAACTCACCCTAAGCGAGGTGGCAGCCGTGGACCCTAAAGGCAGGAAGCTCAAAGCCAGGAAGCAGAGCTGGCTAGAGACAGGACCTCGCAGCCTGGCCCCGGAGCTCCCGGCTTCTTGCCGCCTCCTTTTGGACCTGCGAGTGACAGGGGTGGCGTAGGCCCAGTACTGAGGCCCAGTACTGTGACTATGCACTTGCTGGCTCTCTTTCCTCTCCTCCCTCCAGCCTAAGGCCAGGGGCTCTGGAAAGGCATTGGCCTTCAATAGACTTAGGCTTAGGAGATGAATGAAGGAACATTCTGCATTTTATTTTAAATTCTTCATAGAAATTCAGCCAATGATTTTGAGCTCAAATGTCAGGGGTCAGGGCTGCCCAAGAGAATACCCGCCCAAACCTGTAAGCAAGCAGGAGCAAATATGACTGACTTCCAGTTTAGCAGCAGCTGGAAGCAGCAGAGTGTATAGTAACTTACACTGTCTTAAAGTTTCCTGGATCTCTTTTAGGTTGATTTCCATCCACCTCAGTGAAGCCGTTAGATCTTTATTGTCTGCAGTGGGTGGGAAAGAGTGGCAAATATTCCAAAACCGAAATGCTAATGGAAACTACATGTGAATCAAAACCAAATGCTAATGAAAACCACTGAAATGATGCTATTTTTTTTTTCAAATGTATTTGAAAGGCGAAGTTATATATAGATAGAGACAGAAAACGAGAGGGTCTTCAACTGGCTGGTTCAGCTCCAAAGAGCTGCAATGGTGTGGCTTGGACCAGGCCAAACCCCAGAGTTCCATCCACATCTCCTACACAGGTGGTGGAGCCCAAATAATTGGGCCATATACCTTTGCTTCCCCAGGTGCATTCACAGGATGCTGGATAGTAAATGGAGTAGCCTGGATGCCAACTGGTACCCAAAAGAAATGCTAGCATAGCAGGCAGCAGCATAACCTGGTGTGCTACAGTGGAGTATCTGGATAGTGTTTTTTTTTTTTTGTAATAATTTTTTTTAAAGATTTATTTTTATTATTTTTTATTGGAAAGGCGGATATACAGAGAGGAGATACAGAGAGGAAGATCTTCCGTCCAATGATTCACTCCCCAAGTGAGCGCAACGGGCCGATACTATGCCGATCCGAAGCCAGGAGACTCTTCCGGGTCTCCCACACAGGTGCAGGGTCCCAAAGCTTTGGGCCGTCCTCAACTGCTTTCCCGGGCCACAGGCAGGGAGCTGGAAGGGAAGCGGGGCTGCCGGGATTAGAACCGGCGCCCATATGGGATCCCGGGCGTGCAAGGCGAGGACTTAACCACTTGCGCCACCGCGCCGGGCCCTGGATAGTGTTTTTTAACCTAACACATTCCTTGTGGTCGGAATTACTGTTGCTCACTAGTTGCTATGGTTTTTAAATGATTTTGGTGCCTCCCCAATGTGTCCACGTGCCCAGACCTTTGTGTAGCGATGTGACAGGACACATAGACAGACTCCAAGAAGCCCTGGGGCTTGGAGGCAAACCCAGGCAAACCCACGTGAGACCAGGAGCACCTGAACAGATCTGTGGACCTGTGAACAACTGTTCATCCATGGCTTTCCACAGTGATTTTCTTTTAATACAAACCAAACCATGACAGGCCCACAGAGAAGGATCTTCACCCCCTAGCTTCCTTCAACTCCTAAAATAAAATCTGCTTTCCCCTATTGCCCATGGAGCCTTGCGTGTTCCAGCTCCCATGTCTTCTGGTTTTCTTCCCTTGCCAGTATGTCCAAGCAGCCTGGCCTCTGGTTGGTCCTTGCATATGCCCACGGCTGCCCCCTGTTTTGGGCCTCTGCACCTGCTGCTTTCTCTGCCTGAGTTGCTCATCTCCCACATGGCCACCTGGCTGACTCCTCCTTCTTCTATGTAAATGTCATCTCAGGAGTGGGCATTCCACAGTGGAGTACCTGACGGAGTGCAGGTGCTGCTCTCCACTCTAGTTGCCTGACTATGTGCACACTAGGAGGCAACAGCAGATAGCTCAGGCACTTAGGTTTCTGCCACTCAGAGTGCGGCATTTGAGACATGAACCAGTGATTGGAAGATTTGTCAGTCTCTGCTTTCAGAAAAAAAAAGTAAATAAATAATTTTAAATATCATCCCATCAGAGAGCTAACAGGATGTTATGTCTCTCTTTCAGGAGTTTTCTTGCTGCTAGATACTATCATTTCCTTAGCTCTCCATCAGCAGACTTGGTTGCTCATAGAGCAGGGGTCCTGTCTATGTGCTCTGCGTGGCATCCCTAACACCCAGAACAGCTCTGGGCACACTGCACTTAGTTCCTGTTTATTTAACTGACTGGTTATTTCTTATTTCTGGATTATTTTTACTCCAATGAAGGGTGACAAAAGACCCTTAAGCTGGGAGATGCAAGCTTGTGCAATTTGAAATGCTCCTTGTCCACTCTGAATTTCACCAGCTTCCGCCATTGGGAATTTCAAGTCACAAGAATACACAGCTGCTAAAAAAAAAAAAAAACTCTTTCATCATTGTTACTTTAAATCTCCCCATTCCCAACTGCAACCATCTAAAACCCGCATATGCACGGCACGCACACATACACATATACAAGCACCTGACTTGTCCATTCTTCGCCTTTGGATCACTTGCCAGTCTTCCTCTGCATCCTGCTCATCTTCCTGCTGCCAGTGCGCTCCTTGGCTACCCCCGGACACCAGCATCCGTTGGTCAACCTGAAGCACCAGTGAGAGCGCCTCCCAAACATCCCTCAGCTGCTCGTTCACTTCCCTGAAAAGAATTTTGTCCCGGCCTGCAGTGAAAAACCTATAAATGCTGGATTTCTGCTGGAATTCCTCTATCTGGCCCTTCGCTTTCTCCAGGACGGCCTGGAAGCGGTCCAGGGCAGTGGTGAGCTCGGTGGACAAGTTCTGCTTCCCTTGGGCCTGAAGCATCTGCAGTGGCTGCAGCAGGCTGTGCACCCGGCTCCTGAGGCGCTGGCACTGCCTGCGGCAGAGTTTCAGGTTGTCGCATTGTTGGTAGATGAACTGTCCTAAGGAGATGATCTGCCCCAATTTATCCATTCCTGGAAGAAGCAGAGAATCAGCCAAAGTCTTAGCGCCTCCTGCACTTACCACTTGGCTAAAGGACAATTGAGTGTGTCTGATTTTGGGGACTAACTGGGTCGCCCCACCGTGTCAGGTAATGTGTAGAGGCATTCTGCCATGGGTGCTACTGCTATTCAGCAGGTGGAGGTGGGTGTCCTACAGTGCACGGGACAGAACCACAGCAAAGAATTATCCAACCTCAAAATGCTTGTAAATCTAGATCTAGGCCATGACAGAACCCTAGGAGCCTTCATAGGGGCACCCATGATGACGTGGGGACAGGGAAAGGCCCACTAAGGAGATGTCTGGCTCCTCCCTGGGTCCCTTGAAGGCGGCTCCTTGCTGTCAGCCTCTGGAGCCTGGGGGAGGCCACCTTCAAGGTAAGCATGGGGATACAGAGAGCTTCCCACGTGCTTCCAGACCTAGAGCTAATCCTCACGGCAGCTTGATGACGTCAACAGGGTTCGCATTAGGAGCAGTGGACAGGCCCCTGCCTAGCTGCTCGGAGAAGAAGTCAGTTGGCCTCGAACCCAGATCTGGCTCTAAGACACTGGCAGAAGTGAGACTCACTAAAGGAGCAACTGACACACTTCTGATTTTGTTGCCTAACAGCCACAATGATCTGGTTTAAGAGGTGACCAGGAGCAGGGACTCAGGCCGGCCAGCTGCTCCCAGGGGACAAGCAGAAATTCTCAAAGCCACTGCTCAGGGATCAGGAGGACTGGGGCTAAATAATTTTGGGTGACTGAAGACAGAGAGGCATATGAGCGAATGCTGCTATAGGAATCTGTCAGCTTCCTCCTCTGAGCACCAAAGATCTTACCAATGCTATCAGAAAGCTGAAGGTTATTAAAAACAAAACAAACAAGCAAACAAACAAAAAAACCACCACCACCAAAACAGAAGGGACCATGTGCAGTGGGGGAGCAGGAGTGCGACCCCAGGTTAACCCGCTGTGCCACAATGTAGGCCCTAAGATAATAAAATATGGTAAAACAATACTGAGGACAGTAAGTTAAACCTGCACCTGGGGTACCTGCATCCCAGATGCATGCCAGTTGTAGTCCCAACTTCTGATACAGCTCCCTGCCTGTCCTGGGTGAGTTGCAGAAAACGGCCCAAGCGGCTCCAGGCTCTTGGCTTTGGACACTCAGTTCCAGCTGCTGTGTCCTTTTGGAGAGTGGGCTAACAGATGGAAGATCTCTCTCTCTCTCTCTCTGTCACTCCTTCTCTGTCTACAAATCTGCCTTTTCAATAAAAATACATTTTAAAAAATGTGGGTGCAGGATTCCAAGGCCTTGGGCTGTCCTCGACTGCTTTCCCAGGCCACAAGCAGGGAGCTGGATGGAAAGTGGAGCAGCTGGGACATGAACCTGTGGTCATACAGGATCCTGGTGTATGCAAGGCGAGGATTTACCTGCTAGGCCATCGTGTTGGGTCCCAAAATCCATTTTTTAAAAAAGAAAAACTAGTACCTAAAATGGAACAAGGCTTATTAAGCATATCCTAAGAAAATCAAAAGCGCAAACCCACTTGACTCAGCGCTTTGAACTTGTGTTACCTCAGATGACAGGGAAGCTTGAGGCTGTGAAGGTTGAGGACGTTCAGTGCCACCACTAACAGGAGTTCACGTTCCTGGGAGCCAAGCCCTGGTGAGGCAGAAAGAACGCCAACCTAGAAGCAAAGAATCGTCCAATGTGGATCAGATAAACCCACTCGGTCCTGTGTACAAAACCAAGAGGACGTTTCACGTTAGCTGCCTGGGAGAGGCAGAAATCCCCCCGAAAAGGGCCATCACTTTCAGAGTCGTCCCAGCTCAGACCCCTGCCCTGGTCGGGTTCCTTTGCCCCCGGTTGCCAGCAGCCTGCCTTTAGAGGAATCGAAACCAACTCGGTCTTTGGTTCCAGGAAATCGGATCAATCCGGGTCTCTCAACCTCACCCAGAGGTCTGGCCATAGCCTCCTTCCCCCCCCCCCCCCCCCCCCCCGCCTCCAGGGTCGGTGCGCCCAGGGACCCTGTGCAGCTCCTCCCGTCCCGTCTAGGCCCAGAAGGCCGGAGTTGCCCGGTCTCCTGCAAGCACTTCCTTCTCTGGACTGACGGCGTGGTGCAGGATCCCACAGGGCACTGGCGGTCTCGGGCGGTCCCGTCGCCTCCCCAGTCGCTGGACGCAGTTTCCGCTCTGCCACCCGGGCTTGGGACTCCCGTGGGGAAGGTGGCACACGCCTCCTGCCGGGTCCCAGGAAGAGCTGAGACCCCTAACTTCCCCTCCTTACCTGCACCACTCCCCAAATCCTCAGCGGACTCTGAAAGGTCTCAGGTGCCAGGATCACTGCTTGGGGGACCTGAGAGCTAGCAGCTTTAACTCGGGATCTGCGTGGCCAGAACGGGGGGCTTGAAGGGCGGCGGAAGCTGGGGAGAGTTCCAAGGTCTGCTTCTCCTGGCTGTACTGGGAGAGTGAGGCCGACAAGGGGGTTGGCAGGATGGGGAAGCCTCTGCCTCCTCTAGGGCCTGGCTGCGCCTGAGGCCGGTGGTTGCGCAATCAGCTGCGTTTCCTGTCATTCATTTCTCTTCTGGGAAGACGTTCTCTGGATGTGGGGCACAGGGGCGGTGCTCGCTTGTGCTCCATCTCATGTACCTTCTCGTTATCTGCTAGCCAGAGGTGGACACAGGTGTGAGAGAGGTATTGAAGGAAGGCTCTACTCGGAGGTGGGGTGATGTTCTTGGGAACCGAAACTCTGGGGCAGGGAACAGTTTTGCTTCTCCCCTGGGTGGTTCTCATAGAAGACAGGCAGCTGCACAGAGGCCGGAGCTGAAATTGCGCCTTCGTTGTCTCCCTGCAGTGCCACCACCCTGGGTCTCAGGCAGCATGCTCATCGACATTAGATTTTAATCACCATTGCTTTCAGGAGGTCACACTTTTATTAATAGGTGTGTAGTATGCTTGCATCGGTGTTTCTTGAGCACTTCATGATGTTGAGTAGTTTTCAGTGTACTGCCTGCTGTCCTTGTCTCTTGGGAGAAGATGTATTTATGTAACAGGTGGTGTAACAGATGCCGGCACATCCCAAACAGAAATGCATACTTGCCGGAGCCTACAAGTAAAAAAGAGTGAGCTCAAAGGAGCGACCCTGCCCTTAACACAAGAAACCAGGGAAAGAAAGAAACTCGGCCGAAGGAGGGAAATAATAGATTAGAACAGAAATAAGCAGCAGAACCAATTGTTGCTTCTTCAAAAAGACAACATGTATACAACTTCAGCTAGATTGACTTAAATAAACAGAGAAGATGAAAAATCAGAAATGAAAGTGGGAATCATATAGAAATAAAAAGAACTATAAGAGAATGTTGTGAACAATGGTATTGTGCGCCAACAAATTCTCTCATCTAGACAGACTGGACACATTTTTTAAAAGATTTATTTATTTTTATTGGAAAGTCAGCTATACAGAGAGGAGGAGAGAAAGAGAGGAAGATCTTCCGTCTCGATGATTCACTCCCCAAGTGACTGCAATGGCAGGTGCTGCGCCGATCTGAAGCCAGGAGCCAGGAATTCCTCCAGGTCTCCCACGCTGGTGCAGGGTCCCAAAGTTTTGGGCCACCCTTGAGTGTTTTCCCAGGCCACAGGCAGGGAGCTGGATGGGAAGTGGAGCTGCCGGGATTAGAACCAGTGCCCATATGGGATCCTCTAGGCCATCGCGCCAGGCCCTGGACACATTTCTAGACACAAAAATTCCCAGTGCACTCCATGAGAAATGGAAAATCTGAACACACCTGAATCCAGGAGATGGAATCAGTAATCCAAAGTCTTCTTATTAAGAAAAGAGCAGGGCACTGGCTTGCTCTGGGAACCTCCATCAAGCTTGGAATCTGGAACTCCCTGCATACTTGGGCCATCTTTTGCTGCTTCCCCAGACATGTTAGCAGTGGGCAGGCTAGGAACTGGAGTATCTGGTATTTGAACCAATGTTCATGTGGGAAGCTGACTCTTGGCTTTGGCTTGACTCAGCAGCCTTGGCAGTTGTGGCCGTTTGGAGAGTGAACCACAGATTGAAGAACTGCTTTTCCATCTCTCTCTGTAACCCTGCATTTTGAATGAATCAATCATTTTTTAAAGTAGATCACACACACACACATACACCCCACCAACACCACAACCACCACCATCACCAACAACAACAAGTGAAGAAGATGAGTGAGGTGGGAAAGTGCAGGAATTTTGAAATGGCAGATAGCTGTTTCCTAAACAAGTTGCCTGGGCTTGTCTTAATGGGGCAGTCCTGCATGCTGCCACTAGAGGGCAGAGGAGGCCAGGGATCAAGTGGTGGGACAAAGCTCAGCGACGTGATGCAGCAGGACTAGCATTTATTGGGCCTGTTACAGATCCGTCATTATACTGGGCACAAGAAGTGCACAAAGTTCAAAGTCAGAGATTGGAGGCCAGATACATTAGAAGAAAACAATGGAAGCATTAAGATCAGCCAGGAAACACCCAAAGACGGTATGTCAGGAGCTACAAGCCCAGTACCAAAAATGAATGCTGTACCTTAGGGATGCGTCTTTGGGCATGGTGGTGGTCTTTGTTGGAAGACAGGTGAGGTCAATTGCCAGGGTGCCTTAAAATCAGTCCATTTTGCATTTCCCTTAGACAAGTCAGAATTTAAATGTCTTTCCGCTGAGCAAACATTGTACTTTCTTGGTAAGTGTGTGTCTTTTCCTACTTCATGTGCAGTAAGTGCCAGGCTCTCTCACATTGTATGAGTGTTGGCATTTTGATAATGTCCCATGCTAGCTAGAATTCAATCTTTTTTTTTTTTTAAGATTCATTTTATTTGAATGAGAGAGAGAGAACATGTGAGAATCTGCTCCCCAAATATGCCCAACAGCCAGGGCTGGATGGCATTGAAGCAGGAACCTAGAGCTCCATCCAGATCTCTCACATGGTTGTGGGAAGCCAAGGGTTTGGGCCATCTTCCACTGATTTCCCAGCCACACCAGTAGGAAGTTAGATGGGAAATGGACTAGCCAGGACTTAACCTGGTACCCATGGAGACTGGGGGTCTGGTGGGGCCCGGGTCGCCTGGCCTAGGCCCTTGGGCCTGCCTGCAAGAACTGGTCTTCTTTTCCTCTTCTGGAAAAGACAGAGTAGTCGACGGCTGGTCTGGACGCACATGGAAAATATGGCAGCCCACTGGGATCTGCAGAGGACATCTGATACCACAGCAGAGGAAGAACAGGGCACACTGGACAACTGCTCTAGCCAAGCGATGACAGCCAATATCTGAATGAATGGAGACTCTAAGGTTGACTATGAACTTGGAAAGGGTTCCCTCATCCAGGGGATTTGGGGACATGATTCCCCCTTTTCCAGGACAAACAGTATCTGCTGAAAATTGGGGGTGGGGGGTGGGGCGGCGAGGGGAAGGGGAAAGAGAGAGACAGAGAGAAACAATAAAATCTAGTACGAGGTGAGGAGCTGCTCTGATTTTTATCATCATGGGCAACCATGTGACACGGCCGGTGTCAGTGACAGGGCCCCTCCCCCATCACCACCACCAAGTAGTCACGCCCAAAGGTGTCGATCTCTTTTCATTGTTTTATTTTTCAAAATATACAATTTATTTACAATTTTCTTTTTATTTCACAAATGTACTTTTGTATATTTATCCCAAAATCTTTAAATAGCTCCACCGTAAACAGTATACAAATCACCAGGATCGGCCAGACTGCTTCTCCTTGGCCTTTCTGCTCATCGAGTGTTGAAAAAGTTTCAAGTAGTAGTGGTTTGTAGGTAAGAAGGGAACAGAAATGGGGCGATTTTTTTTTTAACAGAGGCAGAACACACTGGGTTAGAAAAGGACGGTTGTGCCAACTCGGTGGCATTAAGGCCGAGGATAAATAGGGCCCTCCCCAAGGCGGGGAAGGCTGCAGCCCGCTCCAGGAGCGAGGGGGCGCGGGGCAGCCCCGAGGCTCTGGAGGCAGGGCCGGCGGCTGGTGGGCTGGTGGCTCCAGGGCTCCAGGAGGAGCCTGAGCGTGGGAAGGCACTGTGTGGGTGACAGCTGAGGCTGTCCCGGTGCGCAGGAGGCGTCACGTGTCTCTTGGCCGGAGACACTTCATCCACCTCAGAGCCGCAGAGCCAGCGGCCCTCAAGCAGGCGGGAGGGCAGACGGGGCTCCAGGTGACACAGGCCCTGTGCCAAGGTGGAGGGGGATCCCCGCTTGCTGGAGGTGCCGAGGCACTGGTTTTGGGGGTCAGTTTTCTTCATTCCCCTGGGGGCTGGTCCCCCCCAACCCCGGGCGGCCGGTGGAGAGCCCTAGGAGAGGTTCCCAGAAACAGCCAGTCCCTGAGGGGCCTCCGGGCCACCAACGACCAGCGTGCTTCCCCCCAACCCCCGGTGGATGACGGTCCTGCCTCAGGGTCTCCACCAGGCCCCAGGGTGGGCCACAGTTCAGCTCTCTCAGCCGAGTGTGGCTGGGGGGGGGTAAAGGGAGCGGCGTTGCGGGGAGCAGGGCTGGGGTCGGGAGAGAGGCGCTGGGGGGCAGGTGAGGGTGGTCACTGGGTCTTCGGGTGGGGTTCCTCTGGGATGAGGGTGTGGAAAAAGTAATCCCATAATTTAGTGCTGATGCCGAATCCTATACAGGGAGAGAAAGGAGGAGGAGAAAGTGAGGTACCGAGGGAGAATCCAGGAGGGGATCAGCCCTTCCCAGCGCCCTCCTACACCCGCCATCCTCGCAGGAGCCCAGGGTCGGCCTCCTCCAGGGTGTTGCAGGACCTAACGCAGATGGCGTATCTGCCCCTGAGCGTGGGGCAGCCCGCTCCAGTTTTTTTCCCTAAGTTCCGGGCCGAGTTTGCCCCCTGCTCAGGGCTGGGGCTCTCTTTCCCCAAGCACAGGGACACTGGCTTTTCTTTTTTCTTTTTTTTTAATTTTTTTGCACCTCTGGCTCTGCGGACATCTCTCAGCAGCAACCCCCTGCCTGGACCATCTTTCCAGAGCTTTGCTGCCCCCACGTGGCCGCTGTATCCTGGACGTGTTCCTGGAAGAGCTCAACTTTAGGTTTCAGCTCATTCTCCTGAAGTTTCCCTGTAGACACTGACAACTTTGATTACTAGAAAGCATCGAGCAGCTGACGGCCATGAGTCTCCCTTTTCATGGTCAAGTTTATACATTCTAAGATGGAGACCAAGTGTTTCCAGGGGGAATATAGCACCGAGATTGAGGTGTGCTGTCGGTGTAGTCAACCTTGCATTTCCAAGACTATTAGCAAAGAAAAAACATGAGAGGTATAATTGACAATGCTTCATGTCAGTTACAGATTGAAATGGTATTTTTTGGTGGTTATTCAGCTAAATAGATATTTTATGAAAATGCTTTTTCAGGCCATGTCCAACCCAGGAGTTTGCTACATCAGAGGGCCTGGGTTTCATGCCTGGCACCAGATCCGGCTTCTTGCTAAGGCAAACCCTGGGAGGCAGCAGCAGTGGCCGGGGAGGGGATGGAACTGAGTCCCTGGCTCCCACATGGCAAACTTGACTTCTAACCTTGGTTCCGCCCCAGCTCCATCCATTGTGGCCATTTGGGGAACATATTAAGTGGGTGGGAACTCTTTGCTTCCCAAATGAAGAAAGCTGACTTTTAAAATAAATTTCTTTTTTTACTTTAAAATGGCTCGTTTATTGATTGGCATATTTATTTGACAGGAAGCGAGAAGGAGACAGATCTTCCATCGACTGGTTCACCCTACCAAATGCTTGCAACAGCTGGGGCTGGGTCAGGGCCAGAGTCGGAGGCTGGGAACTCAATCTGGGCCTACCCATGTGGATGGCAGGAACCCAAGTACTCAAGCTACCTTGCTGCCTCCGAGGTCTGCATGAGCACATAGATGGAGTCAGAGGCTGCAGTTGGGTGTGGGAATGTGGGTGTCCCAACCCCAGGGACAAACGCATGTTCCTACTTTTACTTTTTAATGTGGCCACTAGAAAACTAAGGACCGTCTATGTGGCCTGCATAATATAGGCATCACGTTTCACCTGCTCGGGGTATGTTTGGAGAAATGCTTTCTTGGACAAATTCCATCTCTGTGCAAACATCAGTGTCTTCTACTAAGGCAGGTATAACAACATTGACACAGACCATCCAAACCCACTAAAATCCTGGCCAGGAAACCACAGGAGGCACAGGAATTGCCCATCCGTTCCCTAATATCTTGAGAGCCCACTAATGGGGAATGTCTTCCCCGCAGGTTCCTGCCTAGACAAGGGAGGGTCAGGGGATGCTTAAAAACCCAATACCCTTCTGAAAATCTAGGTGTCTCTCCCTTGCTCAAGAGACGCCCCATCTCCCAGACCCCTCCTGGGAGGTGCTTTCTCCTTCCCTCTTTCTTTCCACGTTCACTTGTTCACCTCACAAATATAACTTCTCTGTCTGTAACTTATTCCCGGCTTTTCGTTTGTATGCTAAGCTGAGGAAAGAAGCCACAGAGCTGTGCTGGTAACAGTGACCAAATCTGGAATGACTACAGCTGCATGCAGGGACCACTGTGGAGCACCATGTTTTGGGGTGCATGACCATATTTTGATGGACAGTGCAAAGCCTTCTTCCCCCACCCAGGGTAACTCAAATGTCACCTTGCTTGATTTCCCCTCTGTGGCATTTCGTACTGTTCCTCATCTGTCCCCGCACAGCCACATGCACCCGTGAACAGCAAGGAGGAAGCCCTGGGCATGCCCCAGCACTTAGGACCATGCCCGGCCCTTCATGGAGAGAGCTGGGCTCAGTGGCAGCTGTGCAGCCAACCAATCTAGGAGCCTGTGGGGGAGACTGGGAGGCCCCTGGCCGGCTCACCTGACTTCTGATGTGCAAAGTGATGCTTCACGTGGTGGGCCTTCATGCTGTACAGGTAGGAGCCCTTGTGGGGTGAGCCGAAGTGTAGGTAGTAATGGGTCATGTCGTAGAGGACATAGCCCAGGAGGCCCCCGGCGAACAACGTGCCCCCCACCGCCTCAGGCAGGATGAGACGCAAGGTCACGTAGAAGAAGGCGATCACCAGGGAGGCCGGCACGGGAGGGAAGACCAGGCGGGAGCCATCGAAGGGTGACTGCAGATGGAGAGGGCCGTGTGTCAGAGGCAGCTCTGGCTCAGGGTTATGGGGTGCTACACAAGAGACGCTCCCCAAGGAGATGGGCACGAAACAGCTTATACACTCTAGGGTTGGGGTTGGGCAATGGTGACCCATCACTGGTGGGCCTGGCATATTTGGTGGCTCTGGGAAGGGCTGACCACCCAGGCCCTGGAGGCCAAGAAAGATCATCCAGGGGTGGGTGAGGCAAAGCCAAGTGCACAGGGCCAGATGCAGTGTGGGACAGGCTAGGCAGACCAATGGCTCAGGCCCCGTTCCTCTGAGGGTGATCCTGGAAGTGTCCACAGATGTGCTGTCTCATATCCCAATGCCAGGCCCTTAGTGCTGGGGGCTGCCATCCCAGTGGGCCAGACCCTGGGGGCAGTGCAGGCCTTGGTCCCGAGTGTTAGAAGTTGAGGGCCTAGCACAGACATGAGAGCTCAGAGACGGCTTGGTGGCAGGCTCTGGGAGAGGAGAGAGCAAATCTGGAGTGCAGGAGGAGAGGGTGGGGACAGTGCTGCGGGGTGTGGGCCTCCTTCCATCAGATCCTGGCAGCAAGCCCAGGACAGGACAGGAGAAGAAAGAACAGCAGGCAGGACAGGGGAGAACCTGGCTTGGCAGCATCTGTTGTGTCCTATGGTGTAGCCTTGGGTGTGTTCACAGGGCATGGGCCCCAGGTCCTAGACCTTCCCCCGGAAGGTGGAGATGCAGCAGCTCCTCCTGCTGGGCTGGAATGTAGCTGGCTGGACCAGGGAGAATGAGCCTGCTTGAGCCCCTCCTCAGGGATTGCAGGCAGAAGGGTCTTGCGTCCCCTGAGGCTGGGAAAGATGGCTGATGTGGTGGTTTATGGGGCAGGGGGTGGAGGAACGTGAGGGGGATGAAGGATGGGGCAGCTGACACAGTAGGCTCTGGGTGGCAGAAGCCTGGTGGGCTGGAAGAGCAGGAGGGCAGCCCACCCAAGCGAGCTGGGAAGTCTGAGGGACCCGGAGAGATCTTGGGTGTGTGTCTGCGCTCACCGGGAAGCAGGCCAAGTGGCTGCTGGGAAGCTTTCTGGCCTCTCGTGTCTGCTGCCTTTCCTCCAACGCAGCTGCAGCAGGGAGGAGAGCGTGGGGGTAAGGATGGGGGTAGGTGGGTGGGGAGTGTCTGCCCTGGAGAACTTGGGCACAGGGATGGGCTCCTAGAACTGACGGAGGACAGCACCATGCAGGGTCAGCAACACTCGCTTTGCTGGCCCACCTGGCTTCTAGCTCCACTTTTACCACAGTGAGTCCCTTAGTGCCTTAATTGTGCCCCCCCAAAATGTCCCATCCTAGCCACTGGCCTCAGCTTCCTGCTGTGTGGAATGGGGAGAATTGCAGAGCCCACTTCAGAAGGAAGCTGCACAGGGCAAGGAGTTTTGTTCGTTTTGGTCACTGATGCTTGGCACCTAGGAGGGACCAGGCATGAGTGAATGAATAAAGGGTGATGCAGGGTGGCTCATGTGGTGTATGTCTACACACACACACATTCACACACTCCTGTCTTGTTCAGACAAGCCATCCCCTAACTCTCCCCGTGCAGCCTCGGATGCCCCTGGGGGCTTCCCCCGTGGCTCCCACCCCCGGTGGGGCTCACCTTGTGGTGCTGGCCATGCATCACGAAGTGCAGCATGATGAGGTAGTAGCTGTCGCTGGGCGGCTTCATGTGGAACAGGAAGCGATGGATGAGGTACTCGATGAGGCTCCATAGGAACATGCCCAGCATGAAGAGCCCGGGGAACACGGACTCGGGCACGGCCACTGAGTACTCTGCAGGGGTGCCGAAGGGCAGGCAGGGTCAGGCCCGGGTGGCAGGGGGGCAGGTCCCTGGCTCATCGCCCCTGCTTGGCGAGAGAGGCACTGCCCTCTGTCCAGCACCTGTTGTCAGGGGTGTGTATGTGGGGGCAGGCCTGGGAGTTGGGGTGGGGCTCTGAAGGAGGCCGGGAGGGTCTGTTCCGGTTGGGAAGAATGCTGCTCGTCTCCCTAAGGACCACGGAGGGAGAGGACAAGGGCCACCAAGGATATGATCTGCCCGGCTGGGGGAGCTGATGGCCCGAGATGTGACCGTCGGGGTCCGGGGGGCTTGCTGCGGCCCCTCCAGTCCCTGGCTCCTCTTCAGCTTGCTCATTCTTTGGCCTCCTAGGGACGTCACCTGTCACGCCCCTCTATTTCCTGTCTGTCCTCACACCCTTCACTTTTCTTCTCTCCACGAAGGGTTCACTGCACTGGCCCTACTTTCTAAGGAACCTTGGAGTCGGGAACCCTGCAGTTGACCCATAGAAAGCACAGCCAGCAAACCCAAGTCTTCCGAGTTGTGCAGTCATCACCACGGTTAAGATGAGGGCATTTTCATCCTCTCCTAAATCCACACTGCGTCCCTCAACAATCACTCCTACTCTGGATTCCCCAGACTGGACTCATACAATCTGTGGCTTGCCTGAACGGCTTTTTCTTGCTTAATATTTTTCCTGTTCACCCATGTTGTAGCATGGATCTGATCTTCCTTCCTTTTTTAAGGCTGAGTGGTATTCCATTTCAGGGACCACACCACCCTTTCTTTATCCATTTGTGACTCAATGGCCTGGGGTGGTTTTCCCTTGCTGCCTGAGTGGCTGTGGACACTCAAGGCGGAGCTGTTACGTGGACGATTGTTTTCATTGCCCTGGCTCTGTGCTGGGGTCCTGGGACACCTGTGTGTTCAGCTTGGGGGAGCTACTGGGCAGGTTTCTGATGCCAGCAGTTCTCACTGGCTCTCTCCTCCCTCCCTTGCTCCCTTCACCCCAGTCCTGGATAAGTGCTAGTCCGCCTCCTTACCCCATCCCTGAGCGAGTGGCTGGGCCAGTGGCTGGGTCCTTCATCTTCATAGCATGCCCCTGGACCCTGCCTGGTGGGGTCCTTTTGCAGCCCTCTCCCTCCCAGCCCTTTTCTTCCACCTGGTCTCTGCCTTCACCAGAAGAGAGGCCCGTGTGGGGAGGGGCAGGGCCAGCTGGCACCTCCACCTCTGTCTACCTTCTCCATCCTTCTTGCTCCTCGGGCAGGAGGGTCTCAGAGCAGGCCATGGCTCCTTGCAACGGCGGCACAGCAGATGTGGGTGCTTCCCTGGCTGCTGCTTGCGTCCTTTAGCTGCACTTTTACAGGAGTATGCTGCCCCTGCCTCTGTGACGTAGGTGAGCAGGGACAGACGGGCTGGCACGGCAGGGTGGAGCTGCCCCATCCTAGCCCCATTCCCTGAGCACACTGCCCTCTGCACCTCTAGCTCCTTGGCCCCTCTTTCATTTCTTCCACAGACAGGCAGGTGGGCAGGATGCCCATCTCAACTTTGCTGCTTCTCACGGTTTCACCAAGGCCCTGAAAGTTTTCTTCTGACCCTGCACCTTCTTTGCCCACTCAACTGACTTCAGCCACGCCCCACATGATGCCTTTCTGCAGGTCCATGCCTCTACCCCAGCTGTGCACGGCCACCTGCTGCTGGGAGTGCCCATGTGGCTGGCCACCTCCCCCAGAGTCCCTGCCTCCTGAGGGAGACCCATTGTTCCTTCCCTCCTGCCCATCCTGTCATTCCTGCCGCATCTCCTGGGTCTCCTTCCTCAGTGACGGATATCGACACACCAGAGGGGTTGAGCTCACCCTGTCCCTCTGCCCACAACCACCAGGTTCCCAAGTCCTGGCAGCCCCACCTTCTAAACACTCCTTGGCAAAATGAGAGAAGCCCGCTATGATAGGCTGTGGAGTGTGTGGTGCCACTAATAGAGAATGTCGAGATAGATAACATTCATGGAAACCGGAAGTGGGTGGGTGGTTGCTAGGAGGTGGGGAGGAGGGAGAGATGGGCACTCAAGGCGAGCAGCATTCGCTTTGGAGGTGCTGGCTTATATCTAGACGTAGACAGAGGTGCCCCTGAACTGTGCCCTTCCAAATGGCTAAGCTTCTGTTCCAGAAGTTTTATCTCCATTAAAAAAAAATATCAGAAAAAGTAACTTTACCTTATCACTTCATGTGCCCAGCACAACATCAGCCATCAACTCTACCCTCTCCTCCTAGCACTATCCAAACCCTCTCACGGGGCCTCCCGACCTTCAGACAAAGCCAAATCCCAAGGCACGGCACTCAAGGTTCCACAAGACTTGACCCTGGCAGCCACCTCCTGTCTGTTCTTTGTCACCTCTCTGGTGTGTGTGTGTGTGTGTGTGTGGGAGCGGACAATAAACCTGGCTCCTGGGGTGTGCCCCACTTCTCTGCCACACAGCTTCCTCCCTCTTACTCCTAATCACACTGCACACTGGGGTCACCTGGCCTTTTGTCCCCCACGAGGAGATGAGCATTTCAAGGACAGGGGGCTGGCTTTTGATTGCGCCTCTGCAGTGCTTACCCCAGCGGGCGCTTAGAGACTGGTAACCAGAATCAGTGGAGGAAGAAACCCTTTCTGTGGGGTGGGAGGGGAAAGCTGTGCATACTGAGGTTTACTCAGTGCCAGTCTCAGGGCCAAAGGCCGCAGGTGGATGGCAAGGAAGGGAGAAGGCCCAGGAAGGCAGACAGGGAGGGAGCAGTGACCTCCAGCTGGGTGGGCCAGGCCCTAGGCCAAGGCACCCTTGATCTGCAGGAGCCGAGGCAGTTCAGGGTGTCTGTAGTCAGGGTCCCCTGCTTCTCTCTGCACTGACTTGGGCAGCTGCTGTGGGCAGCAACAGCACTAGGTCCTGTCCAACAGCCTCCCCTGGCCTTGCCCTGCAGTCTGTGTCTTGTGGTGGGGTGCTGGGGGGTGAGGGAGGCATCGCTCATGCCACTGTTGTTGGCATCATGGCCACGAGCTTACACACCCGATACACTGGGCCTTTTTCGCAGAGGCGCGTGTCGGCCGTCTGCAGAGCTCACAGGGCCCTCGAATCACCCTCTCCACCATGCAGAAAAGTCCCCTCCTATAGGGCAAGCCTCTGCCCGCCCCCTCACCCCAGCATCACCCCTGTCTGCCCATCCGGCCGGAGCTGGTACGGAGTGGCATCTCTAGAGGAATCCGGCAGAGGGACCCGCGCCAAAGCATCAGCGTCCCCTGCCCCCTCCAGCAGCCAGCCCTGGCGGCCCTGCCACTGTTGGTGATTGTTAGGGGAGCGCTGGGTGGACAGTGGGTGATTGAGCGAGCCACAAGCCCCAGGGCTGTGCTGAGCTCGTCAATGTGGGCAGGCCGGGTAACACAGGGTGCCCCCCTGCCAACTGGCAACCCTTGGCGGGGAGTGGTGGCCAACAGCAGCTCCAGGATGAGCTGAGGAGGGTCTGCCTGTGGCTTACACATTCCCCACCCCACCATGGTCCCCACCCTGAGGCTCCCAAGGCCACAGCCACAGGGCCCCCCAGACGTCTGAATCCCTCAAGCCTGGAGCGGGAGGCAGGCTAGAGAAGCCTGAGTTTGTGGAGGCGGAGGGGACCAGGGAGCTGGAGCCTGGGCGAGCAGAGAGGGGGCAGGGCTTGGTCAGAAGGCTCAGCGTGCAGGTGTGATAAGGGCAGGGCACCCACTGGCGAGGCCTGGCACTCCTGCAGCAGCCAGAGGCAAGCTGGGCCAGGATGGACAGACCACCTTAGGGGCATGGCGTGGCATGTACCTCGGCAGGGATGCTCCAGGCAGGCAGTGAGCCTGCAGGGCAGGCTGCCCTTGAACCCATGACTGCCCTGGGAAATGCAGCTCCACAGGCTGCTTGGACATTGCCTCACACCAACCCGTCTCTCCCGGCTCCTGACTAGAGCTGATGGGGGCAGTGGTGGTGGGGTGGGGGTGGTATTCACATCCTGGCCACATAACCTTGACATCTCCAAGGCTTCAATCCCTTGACTCTGTTTTATTTACTTATTTAAGTCAATAAGTAAAATTAATGTCCTCATATTAACTGCTACAACACAATGAGCCAAAACATATATACGCTTTGTGCTGACTATGCCCTTGTAACCCTTAAAGGGGATAACGGTGATTATGCATTTCTCCCAAGGGGCCATCTCTGGGCAGCTTGGTGCCTGGCACGTGGTCACTCGGTTGTCCCCTGCCAGGCTGGAGTCCTGCTGCACGGCCCTTTGTCTTGGAACCTCTCAGGGCACTCCTGGATCACGTGCTGCAAATCTTGTGTTACCTCCGAGGCCAACCTCTGACTCCCTATAGCTTCTGTTGCTGTGTGGCTGGTGTTTCGCCCTGTCTACAGGGTGGCACCATCTTCCCTCTTGGAAGACTCGCTTTTACACATCCATCTTATGGTGAGCCTCAGCATTCTGTGTTCTCCAACACTCAGGATTCAGGGGGAAAAAACACGAAAGTCCCCGGCCTCAGGATTTGGGCAATAGGTTAGAAAGGAAGCTGGTGTTACCTGTTGTGAATGAGGTGAAGAGTCGAACGTTGCCATGGGCCAGGGTTTGGTAGTAGGACCAGCTGAGGTACAGCATCAGGGGCACCCAGATGATGGGGACGCTGTACCTGCAGGAAGGCCAGGATTGGATATATGCACAGGTTCTTAACAGAGTCCCTAGCCTAGAGATCTACATCTCAGTGGAGAGGGGACACAGCGACACCTGGACACATGCACAAGGCAATATGGAGACCGGGGGTCAAAAGGGCAATGATGTGGGGGACAAGGAACAAGAGGCCAGAGGGCATGGAGCTATCTGCCTGTCTCTAAGGTGAGTTACTGGAGACAAAGGACTGTGCAACACAGCTGGATAAACACTGACCTCTTGTGGCAGAGAATCTAATTGCAGGGAAAACTGTTTCCATAGGCGCTGGAGGATTGAAATGTCCCAGAGCCTGAAATAGCCTAGGAGTGGCATTCAAAGTAGTTTCTGGCCAGGATCTGGATTGTCACCTGCTCAGTGGACAGAATCATGCACAGGAACAGACGGTGCCCACAGCAGGTGCTGCCCTCTCCAAGTGCTTCCAGCATAGCTCTGGGCTCTGGGGGGTGGAATCCATTTGCTCCTTCCCTTTTTCCAACCTGATTGGCACTACTGGGGAGAGAAGAAGAGCCTGACAAGGTGAAGTAGGCTTACCAGACAGTCTTGGACAAGGCCTCGATGAGGTCTGACTGAAAGAGGCGGATGGGCCTGGTCACCGGCTGGTGGACCCATTCATCGTACTTCTCTCCCAGGTGGCCCACCTGCCACAGCAGCGGCTTCTTCCAGTCCACCAGGTCCTGCAAGAAACAAAGTCAGGTGGATGTGATGCGCTCGCCACTGCACATATCAGTTCTCCTGTTGCCAGATTACAGCCACCTCTCCCCCGCTAAGCTCATGACCTTCTGTGTGGGGGCTCCTCACTTTCCTGCTTTCGGGATCCAGAACTGACCAAGCTGCTTCTGCTAGGCCCCTAGACTACAGCAACAGAACCCAGACTGGGCCTAGGACCCAAATCAGCACGAGGAGCTGCTAAACACCGTGTCTTCCCAGAGCTGCTAAGCTGGCAGTGTCTGCCTGAAGAGTTGGCTAGCCCAGAGGATGCCAAGCCAACAAGCTACACACACTGACTCTTGGTGGATACATCTCCATGCCACATCTGAAGCTGCACGTCTTGCCCAAGACTCTACAGCAACAGGAGCAGGTACCTTCTGCATCAGGAACAACACAGGCCCTTTCCCTTCCACCCGAGCTGTCTTCCTGGTGTTGGTCCATGTAATTCATTCATTAATCCATTCAAATAGCCATGCATTCAACAATCTGCCTAACACTTCTTAATGAGAAATATATATTATGCCAAAAAACATTACATGGGTTCCAATTTATTTTTAAACCAAAAATAAACTTATCTCTTAATTTTATTTATTTTCCCCCTATACACTTTTTGAAATATCCATGTAGATACTTAGTGTTGGGGAGGGGGATTCAACAGGATTCTTTGCTTTTTACAGTTTAGGATTTATCAGGAATCTGGCTTTTGGAGTCGGGTTTAGCTGCACATCTTGGATCCACCACTTCCTGTGTGACCTTGGGAAGATGATTCTTCTTCTCTGAGGCCATTTCATTAGTTACAAAATGGGGGAAGCGAGAATAATGGTGTTTGCATTGAGGGCTCTGTGAGATGGGGCAAACACCCAGGGCTTGGCAGCGGACTTGGGATTTAGAGCTGCGGCTTGGATGGTCTGGAGAGTTTGACGAGAGGGTGAGGAGTGCAGGGAGAGAAGAGGGAGTCAGCATGACAATGGCCCAGTTAGGGCCTCGAGCAGCACCTCCCTGGGCAGCAGGAGATCAGCTGACAGCAGACATCTTCCAGGGGGCTGCAGGGTTGTAGCTCTGCCCCCAATGTGAGATGTAGAGGTGCCATTGGTCCTTACTAGCTGACTCCCAGGGGCAAGGGAGAAATATTAGAGATCTTACTTCTTTTTTAAAAAGTTATTCATTTATCTACCTGGCAAGCAGAGAGATCTGCTATCTGCCATCTTACTTCCCAAATGCTCACAACTCTTGGGGTGGGGTGGGGCGGGGCTGGGAGCCTGAACATCAGTTTAGGCAGGCATCCAGCTAGTCGAACCATTACCTGCTCCCTCTCACATGTGCGCTAGCAGGAAGCTGGAGTAATTGCAACTGGAGTTGGGATTTGAAACCAGGTGCTCCGATGCAGGCTGCGGGCATCTTATCTCTTAAGCCAAGCACCTGCCTCCAGAGAGGCCATCTCTCTAATGGTGAGATCTTTTTCTCCTCTTTGAAGCCACAACTGAATGTGTCCTAAAGCATGGGGTGTCCTAAAACATACTGGGCATGCAAGTTATAAAGAGATAATTATAACAGACACCATACAGGAGTGTGCTCAAAATGTTCACTGCCAGGGAAGAAAAACATTTGAAGGCCACAGCTCTAGGCGATGAGAAGCCTCAGAGATTCCCGACAAGTCAGTGAACTGCAGTTGTAAAGGACAATGAACGGGGAGATGGGACCACCATCAGCAGCCATGGGAACCTGGACAAGAGGTCTCTACCTCTTTGTGGAGCCTGTGGGCCACAGTCTACCACCCCCAAATCAGGATGAGGCGTGACAGGTGGTGAGTGTCCAGGTCATCTCCGGAACGAGGCAGTAGGGTGGGGAGTGGGAGCAGGGAGGCAGCCGCTGCAGGCGAGCAGGACGTGGACAGGCCAGGGAAGGGAGGAGCACAAGAGATTTGGAAAACCCTTCCTGGGATCCAGGCTAGAATCCCATCCTGGCACGGGTGTCCTCCCCAAAGCTGCCGCAGCCCCAGGGGTTCACATGCACCCAGCTGCTCTGGAGCGAAGCTAGGTCTCCTGCTATGGCTTGGGGGCAGGGACGTGGAAGGGTCCTGTAGGCAGCAAACAAGGACCATGGGCATCCCCCCTGCACCTGTGGCTAGGAGGGAAGGCCCACAGAGGGCTGTGGCTCCTGCTGTGTGCCACTGGCAGGTCCCAGGTGCTGGCTGCCTTCCTGAGGCAGGGGGAGGGGATTACTTCCTGCTTCTCGGGCTGGAAGACGACCCAGGTCAGCCCGGAGCTGTCACACCCTGTCACCAGCCAGAGAGGCAACTGTCCAAACCCCGCCCTGAGGCTGCTCCCTTTCTAACCCAGGATCCTTGATCTCGCCTCTTGGGGCACCTGACCTCGTGGGATATGTGCTTGCTGCCTCGTTCCTTGTCTTTCTCCACCCTAGATCTCTGAACACACACATATGCATACATGCACGCACACACGCACACACACATACCCCACCCTGCCACATCCACCAGGAAAAGCAACTAGAGGAACCAGCCGGCAGGCAGGCTGTGCTTGCATCTTATCTTGCAGCAGCCTGTGGAGCCCCACCTCCAGGGTCACGGGGAGAATGTGAAGCTTTGTCCCAGTTGCAGTAACTCGAGCAGTTGTTTGGTGCCAGGCTGGGTTCTGAACACTTCCCATGGATTAAATCAATTGTTCCCTAGCACATGCCTAACCAGGTAGGTACTAAAATCGTTGCTGTCCTGCACATGGGGCCACAGAGGCGAGGATCTGCTTGAGGCTGCCCAACTACGTCCTCCTGCTGAGTTGGCTCCTAAACCCTTGAGAAGCGGCCATCTTGGTCACTGGTAACATTTCTTGGCCTGAAGTCCACTTGATAGGACTAGAACCACACTGGCTCTCTTAAGCCTGACATTGCCAATGTTTTTGTCTTTTTTTTCTAATCCTTTACTTCCAACCTGTGTGTGTGTTTACAGTTGATGTGCATCCCCTGTAGCTAGCAGAAGTTGAGTCCTGCTTTCTGCGGGGCCGGTCTCTGCATTTTAATTGGAATGCTTAGCAGGTGTACCTTCCTGCTGTTTTCTATTTGCTCTGTTCTTCCCTTACCTTTCTTGGAGTCAGTATTCTAAAATATTCTTTTTAAAAAACTTGCTGATTTGAAAGGCCAACTTTCAGGGAAAGAGGACACAAAGAGAGAAGTTTCCATCCACAGGGTCACTACTTAGATGGCTGTAATGGCTGGGACTAGGCCAGGCCAAAGCCAGGAGCCAGGAACTTCTTCCAGGTCTCTCATATGGGTGGCAGGGGCCCAAACATTTGAAGTATCTTTTGCTGTTTTTCCCCAAAATTAGCTGAAGGCTGAATCAGGAATGGGGCAGCTTGAACCAGTGCCCATGGAGAATGCCAGCAATCATAGGCAGTAGCTTAACCCTCTATTTTTTCTTTGTACATATTTTTTTTCCTAAAAATATTCTTACATTATTTCCTCTATTTTTTAGCCTCCACCTTTCTGTGTTTTTCTCCTAGCTGTTACTCTGATGATGACACCGTACAACCTTAGTGTATCAACATCACAGATGAAACCCTGGTCCGTGTATGCTCCACTACTGTACATCACAACACCCCTATACCCGAGTCTCCTCTGCGCATGTCACTCAGACTTATTTACATTAGACAAGGAGGAGGGTGGACCTTTCTCTCAGCTGTGGACTGGTTTGGGCCAAATGTCTACCCCTTGTTCTATTTTGCTGCTGATCTGTGAAGCAGGTAGAAAATTTGTCATAGATTCTTTAGGATTCCTAAGTGTAACTCAGCAGAACTGCAGGAAGAAATGCCCAGGTGACTAGCCAGCAGGGATGGTGCCAGCCTATCTCGTACCCCAGGAAGCAGGAACCACATCAAACGGAACGGAAGACTGGAGCGAGGTTGCTGAACAGGGGTCGGGCAGCGGTGGTCCCCACTGCTGTCTGGTTCTCTCTTGCCCTCAGGGGTAGGCATTGGCCCTTTGGACAGATGGCGAGTTCATAGTGTCAGTCTTAGGCTGCCAGTGGCCTGCCCATGGCCTTGGTGGGTGGGGAGGGACTCCAACCCAACCTCTGGGGAGGACGCTTTGCTCTGCCGGGGCTGAGGACCACCATGGAGGAATTTCAAGGATTTGTTTGCCAAATCTGCCCCGCCCAGTCATCCAAAGCCTCAATCCTGCTATTCCAGGGGATGTGCCTGTGCCCCATGCACACGTGCAGACTGGATGAGAACGGCGAGGCCCGGCTCTGTGAATGGGGCTGGCTGGTGACCCTCAGCTCTGTGAGCTGCAATTTCACAAAGCTGGGCCATCCCCCAAGGGCCTGACCTTTACCCTGCTTTAGGTGGACCCACACCTTTCTCAGCTGGGGGCAGGCAGGTGCTGGCCCTCCTCCCAGGGCTGGTCATTCTCAGCAGGGCAGCTGGACGGCACCTGGTTTTGGGCAGGCAGGATCCTCGATATCCAGTGAGGTCAACCTCACTTCCTGTTCTGCTCAGTGAGGACCCCTGGGCTCCTGGTCTGAGTTCCTTTCACCTAAAGCTTCCCTGTCTCCCTTCATAACAGATCCTCCTGTTAGAGCCAGGGAAAGTTGATTGCTCAGAAGCCCGTGCCAGCCTTCAGAGTCACACAACTGAATCCAAACCAGGTGGCTGAAGGCAAGATATGTCCATTATAGGATGGCAGCTGGTAGGTGTTGGGGGTAGCGCCTTTGGTGATTCAGAGATGCGGCAGTGGGTGGGGATTGACTCCCGGGAAGTAGATGCAAGCTGGGAGTGAGTCTGGCCAAAGCACCTTGCTATCCATAGTGTGGGCCCTGTGCCCCTCCCCACCCAGCTCTGCCCATGCCCCAAGGGAAGGGGGAGGGCCTCTCGGGCTATGCCAGGAATGCAGCTGAGGCAGCGCCTGAGCCAGCAAGGGAAAGGCCAGCCCGCTGCCCTCGGGATGGGCGGGAGGACTGCTGCTAGGGTAGAGAGGAGGTCTCCTCTACTCTCCTCCATCCACCTCCCGCTCTTGGCTAGATCCCCTTCTCCCTGGGCAGCACAAGGCCCAGGTGGCCCAGGACGTGGTCCTGGGACTGGTCCAACCTGGAAGCAGCTGGGCTTAGCGTTTGCTTCTATCTAACGACCACGATGATGGGGCCCATGTGGGAGCCCAGCAGCTGCTGGTGCCAGCGGCCCCTCCCACAACCAACCTCAGCCAAAACAATGGTTTAAAGAAATGTCCTTGGGGGCCCAGGGCGCAGAGCTCCAGGCGCAGCCAGGGAGGCAGAGGAGTATGGACTCAGGGTGGGGAGGGAGGGCAGTAAGGACAAGCAGCTCACACCCATGCCCTGGCCACTTCCTGTCCCTGACTGCCGGGGGCGGGGCGGGGGCTGTGGCAGCTGCCTTTCACAGATGAGAAGAAAGGGTGGCAGGCTCAGCTGCCCGTGCGGTGTTAGGGCCTGAACTGCAGTGATATAAGCAGGTACCCTCACCCAGCCTGCCGTGAACTCTCAGCACCGACGCTTTGAGAAGCCTGGGGTGGTGGTCGGTGGGGCAGCAACAGCCCCTGGTATCATGGGGTTTGGGTGTGTGATAGGTGAGGGGTAGGGGCAGGGGATTTGGGCAGCGGACCACTGCACTTCCTTAGAGGATGCATGTAGCTGAGGATCCTAGCTGTCTTATAGGGAAGAGTGGTCGCGGCCACTGACAGCCTCCTGGGGCTGGGAAGAAGCCAGTGACGCTGACAGCTGGCTTGGGCCTCGGGCGACACCAGAGGAGCAGCATATGGTGAGGTTTGGGAGACATCTCCAGGACCCGCTTGGCTTTTTTCCTCCCGCCACCCCCTCTCCAGATACAAACCTGAGGGGCTCAGGGCCTGGAGAAGGGTCGTGGCAGAGAGAGGGCTGGCCCGCTGGGCTGTGAACCAGCTTGTCAACGACTAGCTGGGAGAGTTAAGGTCTTTCTCCTCTGTTACTCCAGGACAATTAGAATCCTTCTGTTCACATGATCAGATCAGATAAGGAATCACGCATGCAAAGCGGCTCTGCACTGTGACCTTCATCTGTTGCCAGCTATGCCTCCTGCTGGGGGTCCAGATAGGGAACTTCTGCAGACACCTCGGGTTCCGCCCTCTTCCTCTCCTTCCCGGGGTGCGGGGAGGGCTGATTTCCAGGTTGGAAGGGTGGTTCAGAGGGTACCAAGGGAGATCTCTGAAAATCGAGGACACGGGGAAGGTGCCAGTAGCGTACCCAGAAACCAACAGCGGTAGACAGCTCCAGCTGCTGAAATGGCCCAAACTCCAGGACAGTTGGGTTCCAGATATCATGAAGAGGCATGCAAGGCGAGGGGCTGCAACCTGGCTTCTTCTTGTTCTTCTTTTTTTTTTTTTTTAAAGATTTATTTATTTTTATTGGAAAGGCGGATATTCAGAGAGGAGGAGAGACAGAGAGGAAGATCTTCTGTCCAATGATTCACTCCCCAAGCAGCTGTAATGGCTGGAGCTGAGCCAATCTGAAGCCAGGATCCAGGAGCTTCCTCCCTCCAGGTCTCCCATGTAGGTGCAGGGTCCCAAAGCTTTGGGCCATCCTCGACTGCATTCCCAGGCCATAGGCAGGGAGCTGGATGAGAAGTGGGGCTGCCAGGATTAGAACCGGCACCCACATGGGATCCCAGTGCGTTCAAGATGAGGACCTTAACTGCTACGCTATCGCGCCGGGCCTGCAACCTGGCTTCTTAACCCACAAGGAAATGGTCCCTCCCAACCAGGTGATCACAGAGACCATTCAGAAACAGTGGCAGTAAATTTCCATACAGAGCCCAAAAGGTGGACTGGGGCTGTGCCTCTCAGCAGGCAGGCAGTAGGACTTGCTTCTTGCTATAGTTTATTTATTTAATTAAGAGGCAACATGTACTTGCCAGAACTGGGCCAAACCCAGGTCAGAGCCAGGGACTCACTTCATGTCTCCCATGTGAATAGCAGGAACCCCACCCCCTTGAGCATCACAGCTGCCTCCCTGGGTGTGGGAGAGCAGGAATTTCAGAATTGGAAGGGGAGCCTGGGCTCAAACCAGGCATTCTGTGACATGGGATGAGTGTCACAAGTTGTACCCTAGCCACTGTGCCATACCATGCCCCCGTGCCTCCTGCCTCCTTTTGCCCCTGATCCCCTCCTGGCAGTCTCCCTGTGGGGCACAGGCCACCATGGGTGAGCAGCGTGGACCTGACCCTCCCCTGACTCTCATAGTGACAAGCTGGGCAACCTTGAACCACATCTCAGGGACCTTCCTCTGGAGCAGTCCCCTGCTAGCCTCAGACCACAACCCCTCCCCTCCAGGATGGTCCCTCCTGTCTGTGTCCCTGTGCTTGCCTCAAGCATCCAATCTAGTCTTTTTTTTTTTTTTCTTTAGAGAACTCCTTCTCAATGTTCATACCGGCAGGTGCCTCTCTCTGGTCCCTGGACCCTCCTCAGCTTCTCTCCCAGGGCAAGGGCCTGACCTGCTCAGTTCCCAGGCTCCTTGAACCCATTCAGGCTGTCATCCCTCCTACCCTCCAAGTCCAAGAAAACTTCCTTCTGCACCAAAACTCCCAGCCCCCTTCCTGGCCTTGAGTATCATGTATGCCCCATGTTGGCTACGTGCAGGTGTGGTCATTGTTGAGGGAAGCTAGTGAGGGGCCCTACAGGAGGAAGCAAGGTCAGGAGGTCCTGTTCCTGGGGGTGCCCCCCAACCCGTTTTGCCTATGTGTTTCTGGGAGTCCATACGTGTGTCCACACCAACAGGAAATGGCACGCTGACTCTGCAGCAATGCTATGTCCCATGCTGCAGCTGAGCAGCATCCAGGTCCAGTTCCCACAGGGACCTCCTGGCAACGCCTCCTATCCCTGCACCCCATCCAGGGGTTGTGCTGCCACCTGCGACGGCTCAGCACCTGCAGACCTCAGCTCTCTAACTGCTGGTATCTGTTCAACTACGGCAGGCCGCTGGCCTCCTGAGACCAAGGGAGTATGCTGTCACCTTCGGCCTCTCCCTAACAAGGGGGTTGGCTCTGGGCCTGTCTTCCGCCCATCTACGTGGGTTCCCTGCCCTGGAGCCAGCAATGACTCAGGGGATCTCAGGTGCCCAGGGCAGCTCTGCCTGGGGCCTGGGCCAAACGGGTGCAAGTGTGGGTGTGTTGGCCCTGTTACTGTCCTCTTAGCTGTGGGTGTCCTAGCAGGAGGCCTTGCGGCTGGCCCTGGGCATACTCGCAGCCAACAAATGGACTCCTGGTATATTGCATCCCCGCTTTTCACCCATGTGGCACCCCTATGTCTTTGGCATGGGTTTGCTGCTCCAGGTCATACATGTGGGCAGTGGGTACCTGCCGCCCCTCCCACACGTTCCATAGGCACCCACATCAGTCTCCCACACCCACCCTTCGCCCTTCTGCATCCCACGCCAGCTACCTTGTCCCAGTCCACTACTGTGAACCTTGGTTCGAGAGCAGGGTCTGTCTTCTGAGTTTCTGTGGAGGTGGCAGCCCCTTTCTCCGGGGGATCCTGAAAAGAGAAGACACTAGGGGTCACTTCCAACAGAGGAGGGGAGGGAACCTGACGATGAGGTGATGAGGTGGCCAGGAGCAGCGGAGGCAGCGGGGTGGAAATCAAGGACGCAGAGTCCTTGTTTCTTGCTAACAGGGGGACACTGAAGCGGGTAGTACTCTTCTCTGAACTTTTCTCCCAGAAAGTAAATTTCTGCAAAGTGTAAAAGAGGCAGCGAGATCAGGGAGAGAGAGTTAAATGCAGAGAAACAGGAGTGGTTGAGGGGATGCTGGTTGGGGGGGCAGGAAGGGGTGGGTCCCTGCCAAGTACCTCCAGTCACAGGGTGGCACTCAGGGCATTGTGCCACACCTGATGACTGCCCTGCCTTCCTCCCACCCTCCTCCCTGGTATTCAATAGGTCCTGTGGGTCATAGGCTGTAGCCTTGAGGACCACCTGCGCACAGTGCAAAAGGTAGCAGGGAATGAGGGAGTCTTTGCTGCCAGCAACCCCACCACGTGGAGCTGGTAGTGGAGTGCCCAAGTAGGCTCAAGGTTAAATCAAATTGCCAAGAGGTAGAGGCAGCAGGAAATGGAATGTGCTGGGAAAATCACAGAGTCCCAGCCAGCCCTGACATCATATGGGGTGAGGCCTGGGAGAACAGGCTGGCACAGAGCTAAAACCCTCACTTCCCTGTGGCAGGGCACTGGCCTCTATGGGACCTGCCCTCTGCGATGAAGAGGAATCAGGGGGCTGGTGGCCACTGATGGGCCCTTGGAAGTTGGACCTTGGCAAGAGGCAATGGGACTGTGCTGAAGACTCACTTGTGGTTTTGTATTTCTAAGGTTTATTTATTTTTGAAAGTCAGAATTACAGAAGCAATGGGCTGGTGCTGTAGTGCAGTAGACTAAGCTTCTACTTGTGGCACCTAAATCCCATATGGGTAACGGCTCATGTCCCGGCTGTTCCACTTCTGATCCAGCTCACTGTTTATTGCCTGGAAAAGCAGCAGAGGATGGCTCAAGTATTTGGATCCTTGCACCCATGTGGGAGACCTGGAAGAAGCTCCTGGTTCCTGGTTTCTGATTGGCTCAGCTCTGCTGCAGTCATTTGCAGAGTGAACCAGCAGATAGAAGACCTGTCTCTGTCACTCCTTATCTCTAGCTCTGTCATTAAAAATAAATTTTTTTAAGCAGCAAAAGGAGAGAGAGAAAGATGTAGAGAGAGAGATCGTCCAACCAGTAGTTTATTTCCCCAGATGGCAGTAATGGCCAGTGGTGTGCCAGGCTGAAGCCAGGAACTTCATCTGGATCTCGCACACATGGGCGGAGGGGCCCAAATATTTAGGCCACACTTTGCTGCTTTCCCAGATCATTGGTAGGGAGTTAGATTGAAAGTGGAGCAGCTGGGACATTAACTGGCATCAACATGGGATGCTGGCATCGCAAGCAGTGGCTTTACCCGCCACACCACAACACCAGCTTCCCAACTGGAGGGTTCTACTATCATGATTCTAATGTTTTGGTTTTCAAATGAACCAGATGGTGACAGGGACCAGGTTGGCTTTTTCTGAAGACAACAACAAACAAACAAAAAAAAGCCAAACTCATTATGTAACCAAATGCGAGGGGCTCTCATGATTCTACGATCCTATCTGTCCATCAAATACTAATCCCTTATTTTTTTGCTTTTAGCATCTTATGATTCCTTAAGGACAAAGAATGAATTTCTTTAGCATATCACACATTGCGACATCCTAAATATCTACATAAATGTCTTCCCTTTCCCCATGGTGGTCACTCAGCCATCAGAACGCCCCAGATTTGGGACAGGCATTTGATTCAACAATGAAGATGCTGCTTGGATACCTTCACTCCATACGGGGGTGACTGGATTTGAGTCCCGGCTCCATTCCCCCTACTAGCTGATGCACATCCTGGAAGTGGCAGATGACTCAAGCGGTTGCGCCTCTGCCATCCACGTGGGAGATCCAATGGAGTCCCAGGCTCTTGATTCCACCTGGCCCAGCCCTGGCTATTGCAGGCATTTGGAGAGTGAGTCAGCAAGTGGGAGCTCTCAGAGTATCCTGTCCCTGTGGGAGGGCTCATGTCTCATGGTCACCCCATGTCCTTTCTTTAGGGGGATTCCACTCTGGCCCTGTACCCTATACTCCACTCATGGCAACACCAGCTGCCTCTCTTTCTGCCCTTAGCAGGCAGGGGTGCTGTACTCAATGTGACTTACTGCTTTTGTTCATGCTACATTTTCCACACACCCCAGAGAAGCACACACAGCTCTCTGGGTCCTGGACAGTTGCTGGACACAGCAGAGGAGATGTCTACTGTTACCACTTAGCACTAGGTTTGCACCTTGTACTTCCCATACTTGGAAAACTGCCCCCTAGGCTCAGCTGTCTGTTGCCACACTTCAGGTATCAATCTTGGTTCTTCCCCCTCCAGGGTTATTTAAGCCCCCCCACATCCCTGTTCTTGCACAAACAGGGCTAGAAATACCCAGGGACAGCCTGTATGTCCACTCCTTGCTGTCTGCTTTTCCCACAACCCTTTGGTGACAAAGTGAACTCTCTAGGTCTACCTGCTGGCCCACATTCCTCTTCCACGGCAGGCAGAAGGGGGTCCATGCAAAACCCAGCAGGGCTGTACCACCTCCTAGGGAAGTTCCTATAGTTCTGTGTCTGGGAACCATATGGCTATTGACCCTTCTAACCAACACCCTAACAGCTCGCTCTCTCAACCTGTGGCTACCTGAAGTCCTTTTAACTGGTACAGTGCTGCTGGCAGAGGGCGGGGAGCTAGTATGGGCCAGGGAGTGACCAGGAGCCATCTGGAAAGCTGTCAACGAGGCCTGGGATGCTCTGGGTATAGGGATGAGTGAGAGGGAAGTGAGCAGTGGGCAATGGGGATGACCCTAGGAATGGGCTCACAGAGGAGTGTCTTCCCGGCAGGGTCAGTGGCCTTGGCCCCATCCGTTTCCCTAATCTTCCCTCCTGCAGTAGGCTCTCATACACGACACAGTTACATGTTCCCACCGAGTGGCAGGGAGCATGGGCTCAGCCATCTCTGGGACAGCTGTCTCTCCAGCCCCCACCCAGGAGACCATTCCCAGCTGTGCTCACTGCTCGCTGGCACTGCACAGACACCGCTGAGGGTGCACTTGGCAATAACCTCTGCCTCCCCTGAAGCCACAGCACCTCACCTGTCCCTGTGCATCCGATCCTCCCATGCCCCTGGATGCACCCCAGTTCTTCCCTCTCAGGAAAGGAACACTTCACACAGCCCTTCTCAAACGTCTCTCTGGGTGAGATGGAGATGGAGGTGATGCTGTCTCGAAGGCTTGGTCCTGTTCTTCTTCCCCTAACCATTCTAGCAAAAGAGCCCTTCTTTTCCCTGCTGCATGAAAATCACATTTACCAAGTACGCAAAGACCCCATGGCCTCCATTGCTACTTAGGTTTTCTTGCCTTTAAAAAAGATATTTATTTTATTTTTTTAATTGGAAAGTCAGATATACAGAGAGGAGGAGGGACAGAGGATTTTCTGTCCGTTGTTTCACTCCCCAAGTGGCCACAAAAGCTAGAGCTGAGTCAATCTAAAGCCAGGAGCCAGGAACGTCTTCCGGGTCTCCTACATGGGGTGCAGGGTCCTAAGGCTTTGAGGCCTCCTCAACTGCTTTTCCAGGACACGAGAAGGGAGCTGGACAGGAAGTGGGGCTGCTGGGACATGAACTGGTACCCATATGGGATCCTGGCATGTGCAAGGCGAGGATTTCAGCTGCTAGGCCACCGTGCTTTCTTGCCTTTGCTGGTGAATGTTGGGGTAATTCTTGTTCATCCAGTGGTGTGACAGGTGCCATCGGGGCAGGGACTTCACGAGTCACTGTCTCCTGTTTCTGCAGGTGTCGCAGGTGCGCCCTGAGAAACGTCAGCGACTCCCTCCACAGTTCCTGGGTACACCAAGTTGGAATGCTGGGCCTTTACAGGACGGCCAGTGTGCCCTAGCACTTGTGCCACACAAGTAGGCACAAGTCTGGCTGCTGGGGCTGGAGCTCTGAGGTGCTACTTGGCTGCTGCCTCCTTGCAAATGCTCAGGCCCCACCCATCCAGTGGAGTGGGAAGGCACAGGCTTGTCTGACAGAAGTGGCCTGGGACATGGACTGTGCCATGTTGGAATGCCAGCCTGGGCTGGCTAGGGCAGTGTCCAGATAAAAGGGTCCAAACTCCAATCGAGTTCATGTCATAGCTTCTCTGTGGCCTTTGGCCCAGGATATAGGCCAGGCTCATGCACAACTACTATAAGTATGTGAGGCTGTTAGGAGAGGGGCAGCATTTTATTTTGCCAAATAGACGTTAAGAAGTGACTGCCCATGACACATGATTGAGAGGAAATTTTAATGCTTGATATGTAGGAAACCTGTGCTTTCATCAAAAAGAAAAAAAAAGATAGCTCTTCCCAAGAAAGGACAGTTAACAACTGTATGTGAGGATCAGAAGGATTCTGGTGGGCTGGAGCTGTGGCATAGTAGCTTAAGCCTCTGCCGGTAACATTGGCATCCCATATGGGTGCTGGTTGGTGTCCCAGCTGTTCCATTTCTGATTTAGCTCTCTATTCATGACCTGAGAAGGCAGCATAGTTGGCTCAAGTGTTGGAGCCTCCTGTACCCACATGGGAGACCTGGAAGAAGCTCCTGGCTCCTGGCTCCTGGCTTTGGCCCGGGCCTATTCTGGCCCTTGCAACCATCTGGAGAGTTAGTCAGTGGATGAAAGAGCTCTGTCTCTTTAACTCTTTCAAATAAAAATGCGTTTATCTTAAACAAAAATAAATAAAAAAGGATTTTGTTTCAAAATACAAACACAGAAAATTACAAAGTAATTCATGTCCTAGTTTTTTTTTAATTTTTTTTACTTTTATTGGAAAGGTAGATAATAGAGAGGAGCAGAGACAGAGAGGAAAATCTTCCATCTGTTGATTCACTCCCCAAGCAGCTGCAATAGCAGGAGTTGT